CTACCCCTCCATATCTTGTCATTCCCAGCCCTGCCACCATCATCTCTTCATGATAAACAAACTATTGTTACTCATATGAGATTCTTGGGGTTTCCGTACGTGGCAATGAGTCTAATCCAAGATTGCACTGTTCAATGGCTTGTCTCTACCCTCACACAACATACCACTCATGACTCCATCACCACAGCACACTAACATATATCACAGTACTCTATGTACGGCCACATAAAGCAGCTGGCCGAGGCTGAGAAGGCCGGTATTGAGAAGGCTGGCGGCTCTGCCGACATCTTCCAGGTCCCCGAGACCCTCCCCGAGGATGTCCTCGCCAAGATGCACGCTCCTCCCAAGCCCACCGATGTTCCTACCCTCGACGACCCCTCCGTCCTTGAGGGCTACGATGCCTTCCTCCTTGGTATCCCCACCCGTTACGGAAACTTCCCCGCCCAGTGGAAGGCTTTCTGGGACAAGACTGGCAAGCAGTGGGCTTCTGGTGGTTTCTGGGGCAAGATGGCCGGTATCTTCGTCTCTACCGCCTCCCAGGGTGGTGGTCAGGAGACCACTGCTCAGAACGCTATCTCCACCCTCACTCACCACGGAATCATCTATGTCCCCTTTGGTTACGCCAAGGCCTTCGGTGTCCTGACTGATCTCTCTGAGGTTCGCGGTGGCAGTGCCTGGGGTGCCGGTACCTTCGCTGGTGCTGACGGTTCTCGACAGCCCTCTGCCAAGGAGCTCGAGCTTGCTCAGATCCAGGGAGAGAACTTCTACCAGGCCGTTGCCAAGTTCACTGGTTGACTGCATGGTAGCAGCCAAGCCAAGGCTGCGCCTGAGGTGGCATCGAACACCAACAAGCCTGCCGAGGCTGAAAAGGATACTACTGCTCCCAAACAGGAGAACAAGGGACCTCAAGAGCTCAAGGAGGTTAAGGAGGGACCTTGTGGACTGCCAGCCAAGTGCGTAGTCCAATAGACGAGTTGAACGATAATGGAACGCAATGCTTATAATCAATAACAAATACAAATAAATATTCTTATAATCATTTCTTATAAAGAACTCACTATGATATTACCATACATGCCTGTTGAGAACTAATTAAGGAGCACGTTGAAACAGCCACGTGACGGAGAAATGATTGATTGATACCGTTGCCGTCCCAGAGGCTTTCTTCTGTGGCTGTTATTAAAATGCCTGGATCATAACTATTTCATGAATATTACCGCTACATACAAGGTGACTACCCGGTAGGTGGATGTCTGTTCCAATGCGAGTAATTGAAGAGCGTCGAAATAGTAAAGGCAAGCGCAATGGGTCAATTTCATTCTCTATAGGTGGCTTAGTAGATGCCTAAGTAAACAGGAAGCTGCGCCCAGCGCAAACTACTCCTTGCAATCCGAGAGGATGATTCAAATCTCTAAATATTCGTTAATGACAGAAAGAATAGAGGGTATCTTTCGGGCAGTAAAGCCCATTCTTCATCACAGTCCCTGCTTTTGTTCCCATTCATATTACCAAATTGGTGGTCTTCCTCCCAATCCAAGACATGCTTCCTGACTTCATTTCTTACTTTTGGAAGAGATTTGTCCGCGACCCCTGTGGGTTATCCTGGAGTTCACCGTCGTATACTTTGGCTCGCTCGTCTCGAATTGGGCCTGGGACTTGGATCTCTCCTCGGTAGATCTCAATGACGTTTACCAAGGGAAGGATAAGAAGCAGCATGGAAAGAAGCTGACCGAAGCTCCATACAGTCTCGCCATTGTCTTTGAGCTCGATCGATGGGTGGCCGAATGCTTGGGAAAGCAGGATAATCCGAATCGCTGCTCCAACTGCAATAGCTGTCATCAACACCAACCCGACAATCTGGGTGATCTTGTAGAATCTTTGCTGCTTGCTGTGAAGATACCAGGTCGCCAGGCCAAAGACGATGCAGTTACCAGCAATAACGACGATTGTGCCGACGTAAGAAAGACCAGCGTTTGAGGCAGCGCCTTTGCCCTCAACTTCCCACACGCAGGATATGGGGAGAGTTTTGTCGTCAAGACCCTTTGAAACACCCTCGAGAACAAAGACGCCAGACACGCATGACAGCGCCAAGTTGACGAACATAAGAAACTGTCGCAACCATCGAATCACCCAATCGCGGCGGTAATCTTGTTTAAGAGCCAAAAGTGTCGTGTTATGAGTCGCCATGGAAAGGAGTGACAGCATCCAGATGAGGAAGAAGTGATACGGCACCAGACTGTTCATCTTGGCCAGTCCAACACTCTGGATACCAATTCCCTGCATAATTTGAGAGTCGCTATAACCGTTGAGCAGCTTCCGTCGGATGACCGAGTCTCTCCCTCGCATTTCGGCAAAAATGACGCTGCTCGATAATATGATGGCGAGCAGCGCCGTGATCATGAACGATAGTAGGATCTGTCGTGTGTCAGCACCTGGATGTATTCTCTTCCAATATGCTAGGATTGAAGCTTACACCAGCGCCTGCGACGCCGGCATCGCTGGCTGTTGGAGCGGTCGCATTTCGATCGCAGTTGGCGGATTCAAACAGAGCCATAATGGAGCACAAATGGGTTAAGGAACGTCTTGAGCACACAAAGAAAATATAGAAGGCATCACCAAAAGACAGAAATTCAGGGTGCAAAGATGACTGGGGCTCGAATGATTATTATGACGTTTAAGCGCGGACCCCTGGTCGCACTGGTATCTGAAACAGGCCCTCTGGTCAGGATCTACGGCAACATTGCGGAGTCACTGGATGGCATTTCAAGTTGGCATTGAGGCTGTGTTGAAGGTGTTTGGGTCAAATCCTGCCAGCACACAGCCAGAGGATTTCCTTGTAGCTTGGGGGATGCTTGGTTGCTACAAAGAGGTGCCATCAGCCATCAGCCATCAGCCATCAGCCATCTCATGAATGGCTTCCATGCAGTCATATTTGCCTGCCGCAAACCCTCGTCATGCAGCCATCAACTTGATTGTACTTGGTACTATTTGTGTCTCTAATACAGTAACAACCAGTCCAGGACGGAGGATGAGACAATTCACACAATGCTCAGACCTGTTTTCGAGATGGAAATGTCACACCCAATTTCTTCCCCCCCGCAGATCGCATCTTGGTGTATTCCAAGGACACTAAGGTTAATGAAACATTTGATGATCGGCGCCAATTTCTCCTCCAACAATCCAGGAAATACTTCGTTACGAATGCCGCCATGCTGCGAGCAAACAGATTTACCCGGTCCTGCCTGACAAGGATTACAAACAGCAGCGCATCGTACTTTTTGGTTCCCGCGCTTTCAGTTCTTACTTTATCGTGAAAAGTTCCCGAAATAACCAGCTTTGCCGACTATTGATCGTATGGACATGCTATGTTTTTACCACATCGACCAACTTTCGGGGCTTTGGGGGCATGACTGATCCGTCGCATTACCCCTGTGCTTTGACACAGGCAGCTAGCAGATGCCCCGATGCATGGATTCCAAACCCTTTGGCCCGCCTACGATACCTTCCATCTTTTACACCGTTTGTTTGCTTTCAAGTGGACGATTCTCGACGAGGCGTAAGCTAGGCTCCTTCTTGGTCGGGAATGCCTCTGGAAGGTCTCTTGCTCTACTTTAACCCCTCAGATCCTTGCCAACCAGGGGTCAATAATTCGTCGACGTTTTGAAAACGTATCCGAAGAGTGAGGCACAGGACGAAGCGAGAAGAGGTGACAAACTTCTCAGACGCCTGTGCCATGCAGGAAAACACGAAGAAATGCCAGCCAACGTGCCTATCTCGTCGTTAAACCCACCGGATGAAACGAGACGCCTTGTTGGGCTGGTGCGATATTACCGGCAAGAGTACGACTCGTCGCATGCTAAGACCATATTTTCCAGCAGTCTTGATCAAGTCTCAGAGTGCAGCTCAGGCCAAATTCTGACATTGGCTGGCATAAAGTGATCTGTCAAGCAAACAGGCTCGATGCCTGATCCCAGTATGCAACAAAGATTCTTCCTTCAGGTAGAATATGTGCGGAGCGCAGGTAACGGATTTCAGATCCTGGCTCAATCATAACGGTTGAAAATGACTCGAAGCGAGTGGAAGGATGCGAGCGAATTTCCCAAAATTGCGACTTGCATGAGAAGAGGTGGTTTTCTTGGTGTGTTGGACTCACCCGCAGATGAACCAGGCCTAGCTTGACCCGACAGTTTGGATATCACAGTGATAGTGCGACATACCCACATGAGCCTTCCATTCACATGATAAGAGGCGTCGGTCGGGGGACTGGTTCCGCTGCAACTATGTGGATAATAGTCGATGCTGGAAGTAGAAATGAGGACGCGGCCGGCCACCCAGCCGTTTGTCGTTGTCTCTTGTCGTGTTGGGTTGGCCCCGGCCGGCCGTTATTCGTCTAATAGCTTCGCTTCGCCAGCCGTCTCTTCTCGTCTCCATATGCAACTTGGACCAGGGTCAGCCCGATCTCTAGACCGCAGATATAGGATTTCACCTTTCCATGAGAGTTTATGGAAAGGGCGCACACTACACCATCTGTTGAGTAAAAGGCTGGCTTGGAAACAGGCTTGTATATGTTGGGTTGCGTGCATGATGCAGTCGGTTGCTGGCCATTGAAACGAAACACTGAGCAGCAAATGGCTTGATTCAGATCTAGAAATCAAACCAAACACGAAGGCAGAATGACACCATAAGCCAGGACATAGCTGGACCATATCAGATGTACCAAAAATCAGCGTCCATCTGATGACTATTTGCTGGCCAATAGCCCACCGTGAGTGTCAATCACAAATGATGTAGTGTTGGATAAATATCAGGCGCAGAGGAGATACCTTTCAACTACCTTAACGAGCTGCCTGTCTCAGCCCCAATGCACAACCAACAGCTCCAATGTTGAAGGATGTCGGGTAGAGAACGAACCACAAACACCCTTGCACCTAGACCCATATCCGACGTGAAATCGTGGGTGCCGCAACTATTTGTTTGCTTGCCCTCAGAGGCATGCATAAGGTAGGTTGGTACGGAAATTGTTGGATGTCATACACTTCCCTGTCTGTCCTCTCCTTGGCTAGTCATTTATAGAAGCGTATCTCTCCCACAGAACGTTATCGAGATCACACACACTTCTACTGACTTTTTCTTAATTAACGATGCTTTTGATCCCACGACAACATGCTGGCCCCGTTGGCCGAGCATTTGAACCTGAGCTCAATCGCCCTTCATATTCCCACCAGAAGTACGCATCGAGTTGCCCAACCTGGCTACCAAAAGTTCTTCAAACAACCAAGCTATCGCCATTAGAACGGCTCCCCAACGATGTGCAGAGGCTCATCTTTTCGAACCTGGACTATCAGTCTCTCATCTTCCTCTCCATGGTGAACCGACACTTTCACCGTACAGTAGACCCCCAACGCATGGCAACACTACGAGACAAGTTTGAGTTGGTTATGAGAGCAGCAAAAGACTTCCCACAACATTGGGCCAGCGAGAAAAAGAAAGATCAAAGACCCGGAAACTTGGAGTGCTACTGGTGCTTCCGTGTACGGAGTCCGCAACACTTTGATGTGTTACAAGCCAACACGGCCTACTTTGACCCACAAGGCCGATTGGTATCGGAGCAGGAGGCGGGACCTCAAGACCGGCTCGTGCCCCTCCGCCGCTTCTGTATCGGATGTGGAGTAAAGGCTGGACTTCACGCACCATCTGACTGCATCGTGACAAGAACAGGTCAGGACCTCTGGGTTTGTCGATGCCGGCGTGTGTGGCAGAAGCCTAACTGCCTGCAGTGTCCAGACTGCTCTTCAAGTTGTCCACTGCGGCCCAAAAAGAGGTGGTGTGGCTGTGATTATTCGTCTGCGCGACCCCAGCATTGTGTCCTATTGCATTAGGGAATCTGGATGACAGGCATCAGCAAACGAATGGCATGCATGGGTCGAATCTAAGGGACATTTTACGGAGAAACTGGGGCAAGAGTACATCCAGGGTATGGAAAACTATCGATATCCATGTTAGCACAGGCGAGCTTGATATTTTACTGGCGAAGCATTAGAATGATTTTTCTTCTTTTAATCCGATTACTGCTTCAGGCATGGAAACATAACCAAGGTAACCATTGGACTGAAATTTCAGAGGTGAAAAGCAAGAAATATTTACATCCTTCTTGAAAGCAACGTGGTATGCCGCAATTGTTCACCAAATTAGCTAATGCAATGCATACTCACAGCTTAGGCAATCCAGAATCTAGCAAAGCAGTATTCATAATCAGCATCTTTTAGTCTCGCCTCATGTCTAGAATACGATGCCCAAAGCCGGTCACGCCGGAGATGCGAGCCGTGTGTCATCACCTGACCTCACGCGTTTCGCAGTGGTAATCGTGCAATAGAAGCCCAGTTTCTCCTCGTTTGCGCTGTGTGCTTGGGGGAGATTGATTTTTGTAGTCACATGGTTGCAGTGAAATGAATAATGTTTCATCGGTGAGGTTGGTTGGGGTTGGAGGTTTGCTGGACTTTATTGGGTGGTGTTTTGTCGTTACTTGCTGAGTGGTAGGAATATATCGAGAAAGAATTTCCAGGGCTTATATAGTATTTCCGGCCTTTCATTCTTTTCAGTTACGTAGCGTCCATTATATTCTCTGCCACAGCTATGCAATTAGCTCGATTTCGACAACTCGATCACTATTTGCATCATTGTTGCCCACATCAACGCTCGAGGGGTGCCGCCGTGATTCACAATCACTCCTCAACGATACCTATATAAGCAATCAAACCTTCACCGCAGTCATTCTGATTCTCTTCCTTCAACCTTCTATTTGCTTCTATCCAAGCGTCCCGGCCCAAATACCAGTCATCACTTCTTTTCTTTGTCATCATTCATTGTGCCTATCCATCATGGATGACAATAACTCTCAGCCACCGGATGAGCCTACCCTCAGCCCAACTCTAGCATCATCAAGTATTGAAGACATTCCGATTCTTGATCTCCAGGTTAAGCTAGAGCCGGATCAGGGTAGCGATGGTACTAAACCATGCGACGACAAAGAGACAGAGGTACAAACACTTTCAGGCTTCACTACCCCCAGGGTTAACACACACTGCTAGGTCACTGAAGCTCAGCCAAAGGAGGACATTCTCTCGGAATCTATTCCAGATGGATTCCATCTGCCACACGGCAACGAAACACCTCTGGACCATGAACAAGGACCATTTGACGACATTGCGACTGAGTATGGGGATACTTCAGGCTCCGAACCAGATTTTACATCGAGTTCAGAATTTGATTTCGGATCGGATGATGAAGATGAAGAAACAACAGACGGGTACGGTACTGAGGAATTGTTGAGGAAGTCGTTTGTGTTGACACTGTTTTTTTCTCTTTTAGTTTGATCCGCCATGTCACAGCTCGTCGAGACGAGCCGTTCGAGTACGTCTATCGCTTTCCTCCTCTGAAGCCCCTGGAATCGATCGAAAGTCCCGAACTCATCGCCATGGAACCTGCTGGCTTGCCTCTAACACCATCTCCCACTACGGATGTCCTCTTTCAAAATGACTATTTCATCGTGAAGCGATCCCTCATTGCGGGATGGGGCGCCTTTGCAGTCAAAGACCTCGAGTTCGGAGACAAAATTCTCGTCGAAAGAGCACTATTCACTGCTGACAACAACACGCTTTACAAGGAATTCGACAAACTGGACCAGGCTTCGCAGGACATTGTGCTTGGCCTTCACGCTAATAGCTATTGTAAATTCCAGAGCATCAAGGCTGTCTGGACTACAAACTGGTAAGTTGAGGGTTGAGGAACGAAGAAGATAGGTCTGATGGTGCTTTTAGCTTTTCAACAGGTGTATGGGACGAAGCGGGCCTTTTCCCTATTGCGTCCCGCTTCAATCACACATGTCATCCGCGACAGACCGTCGTATACCACTACAACAAGGCTGAGGAGGTACTTGAGATGAAAGTCAAGACGGATGTTATCAAGGAAGGTGAAGAATTGACCATCTCGTATGGTTGCGGGCTGACCCCCGCCGACTTGTTCTATCGCTATGGGTTCAGATGTCGCTGTGGAGGATGCTCTGGCTGGACCGAAGAGGACGAGAGGGGTATGTGGTGATCAAAGAGTGAACACATGGCGAGTGGGACATTGCTTTGCTTTGCTTTGCTTGGTTTGGTAGTGCTGAGGTGCTTCGGTTCCGGAATTCGAGACAGGATTGACGCTTCTGGCCCATGTTTGATGTTGGATTTGCATTGCCCTGGATATAGGGTCATTCTCTGGTCCTTGGGAGATGGGAGCGGCGTTGGGCGAAGAAGAGCAACCACTCTAGGTATAGGCGTCTAAACAATAGAAGAGATGAAATGCCTCACCCTGAATTTTGATTTCGTTTTCAGTTGGTGTTCTTTTGCTTATTATACACATGAAGTCCTTGTGCTCCAAGATACCTTAGCCTTGATCATTTCTCCTTGTCATTTTGTGCCTTCTGAGACAAGCTTAAAAAGTATATGGAAAGCATTTCAAAGCTTAATAGAACATCGCAAGTTTGACTGGCGCGCTGCTTGTTCATCATGGGAGTCACCGGGCGCCTGCCTACACTAAGATAAGCCAAGCTGAGCCTCAACAAAGACACCGTATGAGTCAACCACCGACGAAGCATAGTGACGACCCGTGTAACACAACATCTATATTCTGCCATTAAACAAAGGCAGATTTCCTCCAACTAAACTGCATTTTCCTTTCGCAACACTAAACACCTTTGCTCTCTATTTCAATGTCTCAATCTTCAAACATCACCAACTATCGACACGTACACTGGCGAACAATTTTGAAAGGAGACAGCAACAATCACAAATCATGGGCCCATACACGTTCATTGAAGGAAACACTCCTGGAAGTGTGGTTGACTGGTCGAGTCACCAGAATAATTCTGGCAATGATGTCTTTTACTTCAGCTTCACCCAACTAGCCATGCAGCTTGTTCTCTCAGCGGACCACCAGACCATGGTTTCATGTCAAATCATTGATACGTATCGGTCATTTTCGAGGAAGGCAATAGATCCTCTTCGTGAAGAAGTCCGCTCCATCATGAGAACAGCCCTTGGAGACGACTCTTGCAATGTCAGGGAGTTTGATCTGCAAATCGCCATTCTTCAGATGTTGGAAGCAATTCACGAATTTGAACTGGGCCAAGGATCTTCCAAACCAGAGAAGTACGAAAGAGGATATGCAGCAGACGAAGTATCAGACTGGAATGAGGTTATCAACAACCCCTTCGGTCTCGACGTATCAACCATCCAAGACACAGCCTACTCCATCCTCCGCAAAACGCCCGAGGAACTGGCAGCTGGCATCCCCAAAGAATGGAGAGTCATTCACATGGAATCTGTCCTTCGCCATGATCTCGTCAGGCGGTTCTGGAACTATCAGGAGTCACTGGAGACAGACCTGAAATCGTGCGGGACGAGTTTACGAGACAGAATCCCGCCTCATTCGAAGCTGGGGGGCCAAGTCCGAGCCCAACTTAGCCAAGAGAGTATTCTTCAGGATATGATTTCTCCTCGTGTGACTTTCCACGGTACTCCTCTTCAGTCAGTAGGATCGATTGTCCGCCATGGTTTCAAGATGCCTGGAAATATAGTCGAAGGAAAAGTCGTCGCCTCTCCTAGATCGGGTATAGCATTTGATCGGGGAATTTACTCATCCCAAGAGGCCTTCTATGCTATATCTTATGCTCGTGGGCAGAGAGAGATGACTCCAATCGGCGTGCTGCCTAGTATGAGGTTATTTGTCTGCGCTACTATCATGGGCCGAACATATACCGGGAGTGACGGGCGCCATGGTCCCTTGATTGAAGGATATGACTCGCACTTCGACGGTGGTTTTGAATACATTGTCCACGATGAACGAGCCATTATTCCCTGCTACGTCATCCACCTCGATCTCGGCTCAGAGGCAGCTAAGCAGGCCCTCAAAGACGTACAGACCGACCCTGAGGAATTCTACAACCTGGCCAAGACCAAGAAGCGCCCTGAAGCAAAAAGCACGGCGCCTGGAGACATCCAACGTGAGAAGGAAGCTAGGAAAGCGGCTGCTCTGAAATGGTTCCCTTATGGCTTTGGCCCTGCTACGGGTACAAGATTTGTGATTGAGGAGGTGGGCGAGATTTCGGACGATGAAGAGGAGTATGGAGACTGGCAGGCTGACAAGCATGGCTATTCAAATTCTTACCTTGAGAAGAACACTGTTTGGGACGATCAGGGCGGTGAGTACTATGATGAGAATGGGAACCTTGTGAAGGAGAAGAGGCGTTTGATGGATCAATATCAGCATGCCACGCGGGCATACAAGAATAAAAGGGGAGCCTGATCCCCAGTGAAGCAAAACTCTTGACCGTGACAAGATAAATTGGTCTAGATGCCTACTGAGATATACCAAACTCACCTGAGTCTTTTCGTCACTTAGGATAGAGACCCCAAGTTTTCTTCCCCGAGCTTGGCAGAAAGAATTATCGAGTGCCCATCGCAGTAAATTGCATGTGTTTTCACCTAATCCCAAACGCCATGCCATGCAGTCCATCCACCCATCAAATGATACATCCTCTAATCCCAATACCTAATCTCACCATCCAGACCCGCCGTAACCACCTTACTGGTCTCTTGAGGATGCCACTTGACAGTGGTGACAGCCTGGTTGCCAGCCTTGAACTTGTGGTACATCTTACACGTCTTCCAGTCCCAGAAGCATACGTAACCACCAGAGTCGCCTGAGGCAAGGAATTGTCCATCAGGACTGCAGTCGAGATCGATGCCAAGGCCAGCGTTGTTGTGGCCGCGGTAGCTCTTCTTTCGGTTCTGCCGGAACTTGTCGTTTGCGCCGTAGACGAGAATCTGGTTATCGGAACTCTGATATGCGACGTATTTGCCGCTGGGGTGGGGAGCTGCGCGGGTCATAGGGTACATGTCTGGTTCAGCGATGTATTTAATGGGGACGGGAATGTTGTAGTCCCACGCTCGGAGAGACTTGTCGTCAGAAGTTGTCATAAAGCGTCGGTTCTCGTCAACGAATGTGATGGTGTTGATGGCAGCTAAGTGATGATCGTACTCCTGGACAACCTCGTTCGGTGTTCGAATGTCGAATTGGACAATCTTCTTATCCGACATACCGGCCAAAAACTCATTCGCATGCTCAGGATCAGGGTTGAATTTGATGACATGGGGAGTCTTGCCAGTCGTGAACTTGCTCACACAAACGCCCTTCTCAGTATCCCAGAGCTTGATCATGCGATCGTAAGAAGAAGAGAGGAACTGAGTGCCCGATGTGTTGAAGCAAATATCTGAAATAGCTTTTGAGTGTCCAGAGTATGTTCGTAGGAGCTCCCGCTCGTGGTACACATCGAAGATCTTGACGGTAGTGTCGGCGCTGGCTGATAGGAGCAAATGTCCCGAAGAAGGGAAGAAGCGTAGCGCCGTAATCGCCTTGGAATGGTTCTTCCAAGAGTGAATCTGCTTCTTGGGAATAAAGTTGGTGACGCTCCCCACTTCTTTTCGAAGGTCGATGTCCAAGTCTTGGGGAACGTGCATATAAGTTCTGCCCTGGTAATCGTACTCGGCGGATCCGTGAAACGTCGTCGTCTCGTCGCCCATCTCCTCAGCCTCCTTCCGTCGTTCCAAAGCCTTGGTTGGTGCCTTGACAATTGTTCCACTATCGACTACCTCTTCCTCTTCTTCAACAATCTCATATTCCTCATCGCTTGCCAATTCTTCGTCGTTCGCAACAACCTCGTATTCTGCCTTTTTGTATCGTGCCCAAGGTCCAACATAAGACCCAGGTCCCTCCGCAATCGTCGCGCTGCCCTTGCTCTCTCGCCCAGCTCGTATCCTGGCAGCTTCTGCTTTTTGCTCTGCATTCGTTTGGTACTCTCGTTCAGGGCCACCTCGTCGCTCTATAGCACGATGCTTGCTCCGGAATGTGTGTTCGCTTAGAAAAGTCTCCTCTGCGTGTCCAGTTGGGACACTCTTGCGCTTCAAAATGTTGTTCTCGTCCTTGAACGGGTTTAATGGTCCAGCCTTGGGACGCGATAGATCTTCAGCCGAATAAGGCACGACAGCATGGTCAGGTTCAGCTTGTTCTCGAACTATGAGCGCATCTTGCGGCGCCATATTTGGCGGATACTCCCCAAAGTCCGCCATGATGAAGGGAATATGCCTTTGGGTGGGTTGAAGGAAGAAGGTTGACCCAGCTGCTGATGACGAAAAAAAGAGGTAACTGGTATTTGTACTGCTTGGTTAAGGCAGCAATCGAGTCATTGAAGCAGATAAACCTTATCTGATTCTGACTTCTGTGATGATGGCCTGCTATAGGGGTCTCGTTATTTAACTTGTTGGTGGAAACGCTAAAAGTCTCAATGGACTTGTGCAAGGCTGAAGGAAGGGGGGGTGATGAAGGGAATGAATGTAGATGATTGATAGAGTTGAACGTCGCAAAGCATAGGTAGTCAAGCTTCACCAAGCGCGACAGAGCAGATCGCGAAAATAGAAATAGTCACGTGACTGTGATCGCAAATCGCATGTTCACGTCGCAGGTACATACCTGAGGGAGCAAGAAATTGAAGAAAACTTCTTAAGGTCCCTAAAATAAGTTAGTCTTACCTAAGGCCTATCAAATCTATACTGAGTTTACTTAGGGTTTTTGTCGTTTAGGATAAAGGCCTGAGTTTTCTTCCCATAGGCAGGGTTTGGCCGTTTGAGCTCGAGTACCTTAACTGATACGAGAAATGTTTGTCATGAGTTGTAAGTCATATACTGTACATAAAGAAACTATACATTTCATCCAAAGCATCAAAACTGGCCATTTTATTCGGTCATTAATCAATTATCACACCGGGCTCAAACGCTGAAGGATGACGGGACGAGGCCACCACCAAGTGCGATCAATGCCTCAGTCTCCAACAGAACATGCCACCCACCGCCTTCATGAAGTAATCAACCAGAGCGCCAGCTGGCATGATACCAGGATATATACGCCAAGCCCGCCTCTTAAAAAAAGCCATCATCATCAGTCTATACTGTCTTCCACTCGTTATGTACTGCCGTAGCAGATTCATATCGTGTTCTCTTGTTCTTGTCGTCGCGTGACTAGTCGACTCGGCTCTGGGTGTCAGCTGAGCTCGACCAGCTTGTTAAGATATTGCGATCTGTCCTATCTGACGTAGCCAAACATTGCCTAGCATCGGTGATAATCGGACCGCGGCTCATTCGAGAGGGGTAGCATTTTAGGAGGACTCGTCTCGGATAAGAGCAACAATCATGCTGTAGAGGTAGAAGAAGAACATGAGCAGGTGGAAGCCAAGCTTGAAGAAAGATTCCTGTTGTTGTGTTAATGCTGCGCTTTGCTACGAGTCAAGCTAGACCACATACCTTCTTGTGAACATTGAGCTTGCGGAAGATTTCAGTCGCATCGAGGAGATGAGTGTTGTCAACAATCCTAGCCATGGTCAGTCTGTTGTCGCAAATTCGAGGCGGTAATCGACATACTTCTTGACGTTCCAGCCAAGGAGAGGCAAGTTGAGAATGAGAGGGACCCAGTAACCGTTGATGAGGAAGAGGAAGGTCAAGAAACCGTGCACAGCAGCCTCGGGGATGATATAGGTATTGAGTCGGTTGCAGAGGTCAATGGGGTTAATATAATCACTGTTACCATATGCGATCAGTTTTCATCCCATCAAACGTTTTAAATACGCGCATCTGAGGCGCAAAGTTTGACACCCTAGACAACAGCGCTTGGAAGAACCATGGGAACCATACCATTCCAAATCACTGTACATAATAGTGAAGAAAACTTGTAAGAAGAGGTTGACGGCGTTGATAAGCACCGACAACAGAAACAACCAAGCTTCTCCAGACATCATGTTGGGCTAAAGTGTAAAAGTGACGTTGAGGATTGGTGATCGAGTTGGGGTGACGATGTCGGTCGAGGACAGCTGTTTGACAAGCTCTGTCACAGGCTGCAGATCGCGGTGCAAGGCGAGGGATGATAAGCTTCGGAGTGGTACAGTTCGCGAAAAGCTCTGGGTAGCTGAATATGCCAAAGTTGCCTTGCAGCGAAGATTTCTTAGTCACGGAGCGTGAGGGGAATAACAGAGTGGAAGAGGAGAAATCTTGGTGGCGGGCAATGGATGGTGTGGAAGTGGTAACTTAGTGGGAGTGGTAGCGGTGGTGAGTTCTGGTGGAGATATGGTGGAGGTGGACCTGGAGAGGTTAGGTTAAGTTGGGTTCCTGGGCTGGTCAGATAAAAACTAGCCGCGATGATGGAAGCGGCGACAGCTCAGGGCACACCCTCGAAGCTGACAGCAGGGACATTGTGCTGAAAACCCCCTGTAATCCCAGCGGCCTCTACCTTGATCCCCTGTCCTGAAAACGCCTTCCACGGCGGATGGCGTGGCCGAGTGACGCCTGCATGTGGCTGGGAGGGATCACTGAGCCTTCGAGAGGCAGGGTTTATTACTCTCCAACTTTGACAGCGAGAGCCATTTGCGTCACTCCACAGATAGATAAGCCTGCATCCGGGGATACGCACACGGACATCGACAATGATGTAACGACGTATAGCCTGACTTGACCAAGCTAGCCAAGCAGGGCTGATCAATGTCGATATCCACATGAACATCATTGTTCACATGCTCCTGTAGTAAAAAAAGACAAGAGTCTATCAATCACTAAAAACTTGAGCAGAAATGTGTCAATATATCAATTTTGGGTTCATGCCTCGCTGCTCGCCGTTATAATGTACCGCCCGTCAGCCAACAACCCCTCATCCACCAACTCCAGAACATGATATCGCCAAAACATATGATTTTTTCATATATGAATCCTCATAACGCTCTATGCCTGGGTCTCTCCGTTCTCAGTACCAGGCATCGGTAGGGCACCACCAGGAGAATCCGGCTGTCTCGCGGTCAAAATCTCGACACCATCTTCTGTAACTAGAAGAGTGTGCTCTGCGATTCATATTAGCCTATGTCACTACCACACTTCCAAAGGAGACTTACCAAACTGAGCTGTCAGCTTGCCATCGATAGTGGTGCTGGTCCAGTTGTCAGGCCAAGTAATATCTCTGTACTTGCCCAGAGCAATCATGGGCTCAATAGTAAAGGTCATTCCGGGCTTGCACTCTCCAACAGTCTTGTTCTTGGCATAGTGAGGGACGTTGGGAGGGCAATGGAAAAGCTTGCCGACTCCGTGGCCACAGTAAGTTCGGATCACGCTACAGTTGTGCTTCTTGGCGTGCTTCTCGATAATGTTACCAAACTCTCGGATCAAAGTGCCGGGCTTAACGGCCTTGATTGACTCATCCAGGCATTGTCGTGCCGTCTCAACCACACGAACAGTGTCGGGGTCGGCCTTGGCCTTGTCTCCAATGTAATATGTCTCGTTCAAATCGGCGTGGTATCCTTCGTGGTACAGGGAAACGTCGATGTTGAGAATATCACCGTCTAGCAGAACACGCTGGTCAGGAATACCGTGACAGATGACTTCGTTAACGGACGTGCAGCAAGACTTGGGGAAGTTGTTGTAGTTCAGAGGAGAGGGGTAGGACTAAGTCGAGTTAGCCATCACAAAGAGACTTCTGCGCTTCGGAAATTCGCGAGTAATTCTCAATACGTACGTTTCGCTCGATACAAGCCTTGTGAACGATCTCATCAATATAGTCGGTCGTCACGCCAGGCTTAGCGGCAGCGGCAGCGATGTCGAGGACCTCTCGCGCAAGCTTGCAGCTCTTTCGCATAGCATCCTGGCCCTTCTTGTCGAGAATTTCGATCTTGTTACGGTTGGTGAGGGATCGGCTATATCTGGGATTGCCGTCTTGCCACCACACGGGGTGAGGAATCGACTGAGGAAGAGTTCGGTGCGGCGACAGAGGATAGACGGGTCGCAGGGTTCCAGAGTACGGAAAGTTGGGGAACGGGTTATAATAGCCGGTAGCTGGATCTGGTGAGATTGCTTTCGGAGCTTTCAGGTGGTGGAGGATATTACTTTGCGACTTGTGCATTGTCTTGTGGATGCCCTGCGACGGAGTTAGTTTGTGTCGCTGTCGCAAAGTGGTAAATTCACGTACCCAGTTTCTCTTAAAGCACTCCTGAGAGCAGAAAAAGCTGTCCTTGACTCCCAGCTTCAGACAAGTTGGGCATTGGAGGGATCCAGCTTCATTCTGGCAGTCGGCGCCCATACACTCCTTCTTGGCGGGGGGATCAGCAGTCATCGTGTCGGTGTCGATGTATGTACTCGAGTAAACAGATTGTATCGTGCGAAAAAGAATGTATAAATCAGGAAATCGTAACCTGGAGTGAGAGTCTGTCGAACAATTAAAATGCGATCACAAAGCGCCAAACAGTGTAGTCGTAGAGTCGTGGCTCGTGGTGCAACTTTCAGACGAGAGCAAAAGATCGACTCGGCTCCGTTTGCTGCAGGTTGATAAGCGTCGATAAGGGTAGTCGCTAACAATGGCCAGTTACGCTTGGCGACGGTCTGGAGCTTCTCTAACAGAGCCTGAGTAGGTGGGGCAGTTGAAAATGTTTTGTGCAAGTTTATGCATATGCTTCACTAACAGAACCTGTTAGCGCTCTTTTGTAAAACGGTGCTGTTTTGGGTAAGTGGGGGGCTGCGGCATAACGGAGACGTGATTAGTAACGGTGGTCCATGCGAACGTGTTAGTGCTTCGGTGAAGACTGAGCATGTGAAGGACAAGGAACTCAAATTGATCTCTACAAGAGAATTTCTGAAACTAAAATCTCACTAAAGATCTGAATTTCCGCTCGTTTGAGCTGAGAACCGTTCCATGATATCAGTGTTAGATTGGAGTAGAGCATGTCATTTCTGAGCAGACAGTTGTGAGATCTGGGGGATTTGGAGCCGGATAAATACAGACTTAATCTGCACAAGAGCAGCAAGAGAGCTGGGGTATGCGCTTTGAAGGGAGCGCTGGGCCATCGAGGACAACATGTTGGCAATACTGATACCCGCACCGGTTTCACTCTATGTTAACAACGACGGCCCATCGGAGCAGTCAGAAGACACTCACTTGGTCACAGCCAGCGGCCTCTTCATTGGACCATAGTCCAAATCTAGTCACTTTAGATCGAGACCATTTTCTTTGACCTTCAGCGGCATTTACTTACTAGAACACCGAATGCCGGGGTTAGTAAGTGGTCTTGTGGGTGACTGTAAGGTTGTTCTTGGCTCTTCTGCAGTGGACAGAGTGGGTCCCCGCTTCCGGCCGGCCGCTATCGCTTTGATGCAACAGTAACAGCCGGCACTATCGGGGCTTGAATCGGTCCTTGATCTATTAGTATGGCAACCTTAATATCTCGCCATCTCTTGACATTTTTCGTCTCCGTTCGTCCTTGACAAACTTCACAAGCAAGATGGTGAAGTCTCAGAAGATCGTTGTTGTAGGTGCTGGCCCTGTTGGTTCTCTGGCGGCTTTGTATGCTGCTCAGAGGGGCCATGAGGTTGAAGTTTATGAGTTGCGACCGGGTAAGTGACTTTTTCTAACATGTTTCCCATTGGCGCATCGCGAAAGACTCGAATAAGTTCCGGAGCCCCGAGGAAACTCGTTTGAAGCTCTCACGACTTGCGAAGAGTTGTGTATGAGGTTTTTCATGAGGTCTTTTAATAAAATTCTCTTCAACCGTTCGAGGGGCGCATTCGCTGACTGGTCTAGACCTCCGGGATCCCAGTACTATCCCACTCAACTTTACAAAATCCATCAATCTCGCAATTTCAGAGCGCGGAATCAATGCTATGCGTCATGCTGGTCAACCGGGCCTCCTTGACCATGTCATGTCGACAACAATTCCAATGAGAGGCCGCATGATTCATGGTAGAGGCCCAACTGGAGCACTCTTTGAGCAGTCGCAAGACTACGATGTCAAGGGACGGGTATGCATAATTGCCTCAACTCCCGTGTAGCATGTGAAACTGACGATTCGAAATAGGCAATTCACGCCATTGATCGGGCAGGCCTGAACAAGCGATTGCTCGATATCCTGGATAATATGCCTAATGTCAAGTTATTCTTTAACCACAAACTCACAGGCGCCGACTATCGTGAATGCAAAGCTTGGTTTGAAGTGGCCGATGTAAAGTCGTCCGAGGAGTCTCGCCCCAAGGAAATCGATATTTCCTTCGATCTTATGATTGGAGCTGACGGTGCCCATTCTGCTGTTCGCTACCATCTTATGAAGTTTACCCGGATGAACTACCAGCAGGAGTACATTGATACTCTATGGTGCGAGTTCCAGCTCAAGCCAGTCAAGACTGATGAAACAGCCGATCCAATGGCCAAGTTCCGAATATCGCCTAATCACTTGCATATTTGGCCAGGCAAGGATTTCATGTTCATTGCTATTCCTAGCGATGTATGTTCTTATTCGTTTCCATTAGTTCTCCACAATTTATTGACTCTTTTGCTTAGGACGGCTCATTCACATGCACACTCTTTATGCCAAGCAAGGATTTCTCAGATCTTGAGAATAACCCTGCCAGCGTTCCGGCCTTTTTCGACAGCCATTTCCCGGGCGTTACGGACTTGATACCAGGCGATGAGTTGATTGAATCTTTCAATACAAATCCTCACCTCCCACTTATCAGCCTCAAGTGCAAGCCGTACCATTATGGCTCTTCTTGCGTTATTGTTGGTGATGCCGCTCATGCCATGGTGCCTTTCTATGGCCAAGGCATGAATGCGGGCATGGAGGATGTACGGATTCTCTTTTCAATACTTGACAAACACGCTCAGATCGATGAGTCCAATGACCCTGTCAGCGAGTCATCTAAATCCGAGCCAGCTTTCCAGCGGTCACTTGCATTGGCGGAGTACTCAGCGGTTCGGCCAGCCGACGCCCATGCAATCAACGATCTTGCCCTGCAAAATTATGTCGAGATGCGATCCTCAGTCTTGTCAAAACGTTACAGGTTGAGAAAGTATCTCGAAGAGATGATGAGCGTGTACTTCCCTCGCCTTGGCTGGCAGACGAAGTACTCCAGAGTCAGCTTCAGCAACGAGGGCTACCTGGACGTCATCAATAAGAGTGATGCCCAAGGCAAGATATTGGTGCGAAGTTTCTTGACCCTGGTGGCCAGCCCTTTCTTGGTTTCAGCCGCGGTGTTTGCATACAGGTACCGACGGTCATTTTCTGCTATGATCAAGGCTGTTCGACAGCTTCCCTCGTGAGGGAAACCCGCCGTCGTGTTGGTACGATGTATTAGTGGAAATCTTCGCTTACTTATTAGAAATCATGTATCACTGCTCAGTTGCAGGAAAAGTTGGCAATAATTAAAGGTCAGATTGTAATATAGAACTAAACTCGACATAAGCAGGACCAAACTTGGAAGAAACGCAACGTCAACCTTCGATTCTAAGAAAAGTCCTTCCATACTATCTGTGAAGCCACTGAATTAGTCGCATGCGCGTCAAATGCATGGTTGATCTCTAAAGTTCAAATCAGTCTAGGGGTTGATCGAGTGTTGGCGATTTGCAGCAGCACCAATCTTAGTCAAGAGTGAATTCGAATTATTCGTAATACACCAACATCAAATTCGCACTTATACCGCATTACTATCTTTATTTCTGTCACCATAAAAGGTGAACCACACATTCATCGTCAGGTTATTCTTATGCACTAATACAGTGATATGCGCTTAGCCGATATTTGGCTTAGTCATTCTTCGAACTTCTGAATTTTTGGCCCGGATCTACAACGCTCTACAGAGAGTCTCGTTGAAATCGAGATATTGGCCGGCATTTCCTCGCTCTGAATCTTCGACAATTGAAGGTGGGAGATTTTATATCGGTCAATAGGTCTCCTAAATTTGAAGACCTAGTCTCGCTTTCTTCTAGTGGTGAGTTCGGCAATTCCGCATCCAAATTCCGTGATAGGAGCCGCAAGGAAACAAATGTTAACAAAGCGTCAACGTAGAACGAAAAGACGATTCCAACGAGACGACCAAACTCTCCTTCACTCAAATCTATACCGTCCATTCTCTAGACCGCCCATCATGCCCTCAGTCACCAACATCGCGAACATGTGTTCGCATCTCCAAAACGCCTCTAAAGCCCGCCTGGGTATAACATCTGTCAAGAATTGCAAATACAACCTTCAACTCGCCCTCGCTCTTCACCGATCAGGGTTCTTCTCGGCAATCTACCGCTCCGGTCCTCATCCTCCAACGCTCGAGCAGATGGTTTCTGAGCCTCCAGTGCCCGTGACAAACGCCAACGTAGCCAGGATGCGCCTGTGGCTCGGCCTTAAGTACTGGGACGGTAAACCCGTCCTCGGAAAGGCCAACGCCATTAGCACGCCGAAGCGTCTTATGACGGCCAACATTGCGGAGCTGGCTAGATTGGCGAGAGGGTTTCCTACGAAGGTGGATGGTGGTGTCGTGCCGGGGTTAAATCTTGGCGAGTGCATGTTTGTGTCGACGTCGAAGGGTATGCTGGAAGTAAGGGAGGCACTCGCGAGAAAACAGGGTGGTCTGTTAGTATGCCGGGTTTCATAAGCATGGATATCTAGAGGGGGGGTTGCTTGGGTGGTGGGAGGAGCCTGTGTGCTTTCATGATACGATAAATAGGGAAGCTTGTATTGTACAACTAGATTAAGTCCAATAAGGACGATTTGTGTATCAAAAATCAATCTCAGCATGAGAAACCGCCTTTCGCATTACAAATATTTTTGTTATCTCGCAATCTCGTTTTCAGATGCTCTTTTTACAATAAGTATGCGATAAAATCACCATTCGCCTTCGCTTAAAACAGGTATCTATACAACGGCTCAAACAGTACATCCCCTCCTCCATGGCTAAATCAGCAATCTTGTATCTCCCACAATCTATCCCAAGTTTATTCCGTCTTGGTAACGCTTTCCTGGTCTTCCGTCTTCTCTTCGTCAATCTTCTCTCCAGTGGTATCCTTCTCTTCAACATCCTCAGCGGCCTTCTCGTCTTCCTTGGTATCATTCCTGTTTATGATGTCAATCTTGTTGTCCTTATTCTCTGCAGTCTTCGTCTCGGCTGACTCGGCATCCTTCTCCAACAAGGGAATCATCTCTTCCGTGGTCTCTGGTTCAGGATCAGTGGCTGATGCCTTGTTTGTCTCCTCGACGACAACAGGGGGCTGAGTAGAGCCCTCCTCTACTAGAGGAACGATATCGTCGTTCTCAATTGGCTTCTTAGATTCAGTCGTGGGCTCCTGCTCCCTGGACTCCTCGGACTCATCAGCAGGAGTCTCCCTGGGAGAGGCGATGGGCTCCTCAGTAGCGGTGGTTTCGAGAACATCAACAGGTTTCTCCTCTTTGGGTGTCTCGAGGGCGATAGGGCGGACGCCTTCCTTCTTCTCCTGCTCCTCTTTGCTCGATTCCTCTGGAGCGGGCTCCTCAACTTCAACAGGAGCGTCCTCCACAACGGGCCCTGGTTCAGGCTTCTTCAAGTCCTCAGGAGCATTGTTGGTCTGGGATACCTCGGTTTCAATCTCGGGCACCTCGGGACTTTCTGACTTAGCAGGCTCGGGTACCTTCTCTTCAACCACGGGCTCAACCTTGGAGGTCTCGTCTGAGACGACTGAACCAGTCACCGACTTGGATTCAGCTGCCTTCCTGGCAGGTTTCTTGGTGCTTCCCGGAGTTTTCATGCTGCTCTCGCGGCGTGTGGCATCGGCTCCTGAAGATGATGGTCGCTTTACCGTCTTCTTGGGCGGTGTCGTAGGCACTTTCTCGGAAGTCTTTTGAGCGGAAGCTTGTGTTGGTCGCATCATGCGGGCCAAAAAGCTCTCATCGACTGGTGCTTCCTTCTTGGGGTGAGCGGGATCGGAGGCCTTCTTGGGAGGAGGGCCAAGGCTTGGCCGTGAGCGGCCGACGTTTGAAGGTTGACGCCTGACGGTTTTGCCAGTACTGGCGCCAGCTCCTGTCGCGCTCGCCCGGCTGGCTGGGCGAGCAGGTACGCTGAGATTCTGTGAGCTGGCCGAAGGTTGAACCTGACGACCTGTCTTGGCACCGGAGGATGCAGTTGGGGCCATGAGAGAAGCAGGGAGGTGCACAGGCTTCGTGGGAGACTTGGGCTTTGGTTTCACAAAGGGAGCATCGCTAGGGGTGGGCTTCAATGGCTGAGGCTTCTTGGTTGCGCTAGTCGCTGAAGGTCGTGTAGCTGTTGGCGTAGTCCTTGGTGCCGGTTTTGTCTCCTTCTTTGGTGCTGAAGCAGCCTTGGGAGCTGGTTTGGGCTCAGGCTTGTGTGTGGCGCTTGCTGTTGGCCTCGTTGCGGAAGGAGACTTTGCTGGAGGCTTGGTGTTCGGAGCTTTCGTGGAGATGGTGCTGGGTCGAGTGGTGGTTGTTTTCTTGGGAGCGCTAGCCTTTGCAGTTGCTGTGGGAGCTGTCTGCTTTGGCTCTTTTGCTTCTTTCGTGTTCTCGACCTTGGCCTTACCATTGGCACCTGCAGGAGCTGCTGGGGGCTTGTTTTCCTTCTTCGGCGAAGCTGCAACAGGCTCTGCCGTGACAGGCTCTGCTGGCGGCAATGAAGGTGATGGTTCCTCCACGTCTACCTTCTTGTCGGGGTTGACACTTGGCTCGTCGGTGACAGCTCCCATTTGCTCCGTGGGTGTCTTTGGGGGATCAATTAGGTGACGGGGCGACTCTGGGATTGCTTCTTGGAAGAAAGGCTTGCTTGCGCGTGGCGCATCTTCAAGCGACGCGGATGGCTTGTCCGGGATAGTGGAAACGGATTCTGCATCGGTGTCCATGCTTAATCGACGGCGTGATACACTGGATTCGTGGCTGGGATCTCTCCTAAGACCTATCCTTCCGTCTTTCTCAATGGCAACAAAGCTTGTTCTGACTTTTGACAGTGGCCGGACAGGTGATTCGGTTCCGCTGTTGCCTGTGCCTGAGCCTGTGGAGAAAGAAAACAGGTTTTGATCAGCAAGGGGTTAAAGGGAGAGAAAGATGGACGGGAAGGACACGGTAGGTATGAAAGAATGACGCTGAAAGCTAGTGTGGGCGCGAATCCAGGGCAGGTACAATTAGAGCAAGCTTTTTAACGGCTTTCCTAACTTAAAAGTTGCATCTCGCAACAGCTCTAAAAGTGTATCCCACCAGCCAGGAAATGCGCGCTCATTCTTGAGATCATGTCGCGAGAGTATCGGTCGTACCTTGGACGGGAGTAGAAGCGCCAGATGATCGGCCTCTGTCGGGCGGGCTCGTGTCGCCCTTGTTCTCGAACATGGCGCGGAGGTTCTTAACCTGACTCATTGTTGCTGAGGGCTCTCAGACGAGACGATAGTTCGGTCGGGCGACCTCGAGGTCTTTTTGGGGTGTTCGTTATGTACAGTTTCAGCGAGTTCTAGAGTTGAGCGCGTGTTGTGAATGGATAGGGATTAGGATAAGGACAAGATGGGACGAGGTGATGTCTGGCTGGTTATGAGCGGCGTCCAGTCGCAAAGGAGGCAGGGTACCTGTACCTTGCTCCTTGAGGTACATCAGACAGATACGACGGGGCTCCTCAGGTCAGGCACAGGCTGTTAGTGGATTGAGGGGCGAGCCGTCAAACAAGGGGTACCTGCTGTAGCTGGCCTAGTGAGGTATTCCAGGAGGCGTTTCAGCGCTTGTTGAATACTCTCCTGTGAATGTATCCCATGGGGCTAAATTGCTTCGGTAGGTGGAGGCGGATGGTGGAGGGACTGGCAACCCGCAGAAAAATCGCTTCTGGTACGTTGGGCAGTTGCAGAATAATAGGGGCTAAGAGCACAGGACGGTACAAGAGTTGGACAGACCACAAGGTAGAGTCTTCAACATCACTCATGTACTACAATATCGAGATGGTGTATAGACAACTCCTGAAGCTTGGCAACCAGCCAAATCATTCCACATTAAACGCCGACCATCACTCGCACAGCAACTAGATGTTATCTTGAGTCATCAAAGAAGCTCTGCCTCACGAATTTTCATGTCTAGAATCTCAAGTTACTCTGGCAGCAAGTCAGTTGCTCGGTGACATTGACTAACAAGGCAATAGACTGGATTGGATGGAGCCAGGTATGGGCGGTGCTCAGACAAGGATCCAGTCGAAATGAGGCACTGAATGGATCTCGTTCACATCAGGCTTAGCCAGGGACAAAGTAAATTACAATCATGATGAGAGTTCACCGTGATTGCCGGCACAGCGACTGTATAATCTCATCAACTATCAAGCCAACAAGTGTCCTCGATACTCGGCCCCTCAAAGGCGCCTGAGAACATGAAACAATAGGGAGCTACGTATTATGATTAGTAGCTAGCTATTCCTGGACTGCCACGTTTGACGAAGGATTGTTATGCAGCATTGACAGTCAAACACCAGCCAATGGTCCATCGAAGAGGTGTAGAAGAGAAATCGAATACAATGGCGAATGGCTCAAATCAGTCGAAATGAACACATAAGATCAACCTCAACATGGGATGGACCGGCCGCAGACTAATGTTAGCAGTTTGACTACGAATACGTACCACGTCATTCGTTCATTAATTCATATAATTACCCCTTATTTTATTTTATTTTATTTCATTTCATCCCATCCCATACCATGCTTCCGCTTCTCCCACGTTGTCTCGGCTCTGGAGTTATTCCTTCGGCTCCCCCGCGGCTATCCTACAGGTTCATCCAATAATATTTTCCCGTACAACTTAATATTTTCAATGGACGCTTTGAAGCTTTGATGGTGATATTGGAACACATGAGCTTGTGTGGGGTCTGCTGTGTCTCATATGCCCTCCCCACATCCTCCGATCGAAGCTCTCGTTCCAGGTAAATTGTATCCAGTGGACCATTGACATCCAAGGACTCTTTCGTTGGATCTTGACTATGCGCTCACGTCGTATGAGAACTGGGATTAGATCCATCTCGTTGTTGGCGTGACATTTAATTGATATCAGATGTGAGCCGAGTATCGGCCAACAATAAATGCTCCCAGGCAAGGTTAATATATACAGATGGTTGTGCAGACATATCGGTACACTTTAATGGAGATGTAGTCGAGAAATAGAATATGGGAAAACATCTTGAAATGAATGGGATATATTGTCAATTGTAATTCCAAAGTGCAGTCAACATAAACTTTGCATGCTTGGCGCCGTCGGCCTGGCCACTTTTTACCCGATACCAAAAATCCATACAACATTTCTTTCCCGTTCCGATCTTCGGACAAGAGAACTTGAACTTCCTCTCAACTCCAATTGTGCCCATCATGTCTTTCCGCACCCTCAGAATCGGTACAGCACGCCACCGCCAACTCGATCCAATATCTAGCTAACATGTTGACTTACAGGCCTCATCCCCGGTGATGGCATCGGCAAGGAGGTCATCCCCGCCGGCCGCCGCATTCTCGAAGCTCTTCCCGCATCTCTTGGCCTCAAATTCGACTTTGTCGACCTCAAGGCTGGCTTCGAGACCTTTGAGCAGACCGGCGCTGCGCTCCCCGACAAGACTGTCGAGGTTCTCAAGAACGAGTGCGATGGTGCGCTTTTTGGAGCTGTGAGCTCGCCTACACAGGCTGTCAAGGGTTACTCATCGCCCATTGTCGCTCTGCGAAAGAAGCTCGACCTCTACGCCAACGTCCGTCCCGTCAAGACTGTCATGACCGCTGCTAAGCCTATCGACATGGTCATTGTCCGCGAGAACACTGAGGATCTGTACGTCAAGCAGGAGCAGACCCATGAGACTCCCGAGGGCAAGGTTGCCGAGGCTATTAAGCGCATTTCCGAGAAGGCTTCGTTCCGCATTGCTACCATGGCTGGTGACATTGCTCTGCGTCGCCAGAAGATCCGTGATGCTGGTGCCTCTAGCATTCACAAGTCTCCCCTTGTCACCATCACCCACAAGTCCAACGTCCTGTCCCAGACCGACGGTCTCTTCCGCGCTACCTCCAAGAAAGCCCTTGCCGATCCCAAGTTCTCATCTGTTGCCGTTGAGGAGCAGATTGTCGACTCTATGGTTTACAAGCTCTTCCGTCAGCCCGAGGACTACGACGTCATTGTCGCTCCTAACCTGTACGGTGATATTCTCTCCGACGGTGCTGCTGCTCTTGTCGGCAGCTTGGGTCTCGTCCCCAGTGCCAACGTTGGTGAGGGCTTCGCTATTGGCGAGCCTTGCCACGGCAGTGCTCCCGATATTCAGGGCCAGAACATCGCCAACCCCATTGCTACTCTCCGATCCACTGCTCTGATGCTCGAGTTCCTCAACGAGGAGGAGGCTGCTGCTAAGATCTACGCTGCTGTTGATGGTAACCTTGAGGAGGGTAAGCTCCTGAGCCCCGACCTGGGTGGTAAGGCCACTACCGAGGAGGTTGTCGCTGACATTCTTCGACGCCTGTAAAATATATAAAACATCAAAAGTTGGTAGCTAGATCAGATATCCCATGCTGTTTGAACATGTGATGATACAGCTAGTTTTTGGATACAGCTTGGAAATCCGTGTGAAGATTCGTTTGTTTTAAAGATCTAGAGAGGATTGTATATGGTATAGGTTTTTCTATCCATCTTTTCTAAATACCTCCGTCAAAAGAGGTGCCCTATCCAGCTTCTACAATTCATTTGTGTATCGTTGACTTCCAAGCCTCTACCAAGGAGTCGTTTTCGTATGACATTATATTACAAGATCGTGCACCCATTCGTGTGTGTTATACAATAGCAGAGACAACATTGTCTGCGCTTAGGCCGTTACATCACTGATGTGCTGGGCCATGATACATCTTCAGCTCCAGTGACTAGCTTATTTGGTTCGCTTAGCCTCAAGCTCAGCCTGATACTTGGCGACCAGTTCCTTTCTATAAAGTTGTTAGTGCTTATTCTTTCGCAATGATGCAGAGATACATACTGAAGATGAGGAGGAGCAGGGGCGTAGTGGCTAAACTCCATGCTGAACTCGCCCTTGCCCTGAGTGGCAGCACGAAGCTGAGAGCTGAAGCCAAACATGGCGTTCAGACTGCAGTCACAGATGAGTGTGAAATCCTCGCTACCAATATCGGTATCGTGAATGGTGGCGTTACGCTTGTTCATAAGCATAAGAATGTTACCCTGAAACTCGTTGGGGGCAGTGATAGTGGTCTTCATGAGGGGCTCGAGCACCTGACCACCAGCATCGGAGAAAGCCTTCTTGAAAGCCATCTGGGTGGCCAAGTTGAAAGCATAATCGGAAGAATCAGTAACGTGAGTAGCACCATCGTTGACAACCATCTTGGCGCCGATAACCTTGTGGCCCAGGAGAGGGCCCTTCTCACAGACAACGTCGAAACCCTTGGCACAGGCAGAGAGGAACTTGTCGGGAATGTGACCACCAACGACCTGGCTCTCATAATGATTCTCATCAGGCTTGTCGTTGGGCTCAATCCATCCAGCAACACGGGCGAAGTCACCGGGACCACCACTCTGTCGCTTCAGAAGGTAGTCATAGTCGGCTCGTCGGGCAATTGTCTCTCGGTAGGCAACACGGGGCTGGCCAGTGACACACTCAGTCTTGTACTCGCGTCGGAGACGTTCCACATAGACCTCAAGGTGCAATTCACCCATACCGGAAATGATAGTCTCCTCACTCTCGGCGTCAACGTGGACACGGAAAGTGGGATCCTCACGCTGGAATCGGTTCATGGCCTTACTGAAGTTGTCGGCATCACCGGTTCGCTTGGGCTTGATGGAAAGAGACATGACAGCATCAGGAACGAACATGGAAGACATAGTGTAGGGAAGACCTCCGTCAGTGAAGGTGTCACCGGAGGCACAGTCGACACCGAAAACAGCGCAAATTTCACCGGCACCAATCTCGGAGACATCCTCCATTTCGTTGGAGTGCATGCGGACGATACGGGGAATTCGGACCTTCTTGTCAGTTCGAGAGTTGAACAGGTAGGTACCCTTGCTCAGCTTGCCCTGGTAGACGCGGATGTAGGTGAGTTGACCATAGTTGTTCTCCTCGAGCTTGAAGGCAAGACCGACAAAGGGAAGAGAGTCATAGGGAACCAGCTTAACAGTCTTCTCGCCCTGGGACTTGTCCAGACCAGTGTTCTCAATTTCAGAGGGGTTGGGCAGGTAATCGCAAACAGCGTCGAGCATAGGCTGAACACCCTTGTCGGCAAGAGCAGAACCCATCATGACAGGAGTGAAAGTTCGGGCGATAGTAGCACGTCGGATAGCGGCCTTGATCTGAAGGTTGGTAGGCTCCTGCTCCTCAAGGTACAGTTCGGCAATTTCGTCGTCGACATCAGCAAGCTTCTCAATCAGAGCCTGGCGCTTCTCCTTGGCGAATTCCTGGAGAGGACCGGGAATCTGATCGGTAACGCGAACCTTGGTACCACGGGGACCCTCGAAGTACATAGCCTGCATGTTGATGAGATCGACAACGCCCAAGAACTCGTCTTCGGCACCAATAGGAATCTGAATAGCGGCGGCGGGAATCTTGAGCTTCGTGTTGATCTGTTCGACTGCCTTCCAGGGGTTGGCACCCATGCGATCCATCTTGTTGACGAACGAGATTCGGGGGACATTGTAACGTTTCATTTGACGGTCGACGGTGATGGTCTGAGACTGAACGCCAGAAACAGCGCACAGAATCATGACAGCACCGTCAAGGACTCTCAAGGCTCGCTCGACTTCGATAGTGAAATCAATATGACCGGGTGTATCAATCAGGTTGAAGTGGTAGGTTTCCTCTTTGCCGTTTTCCATTTTTTTCCAGTCGGCGAAAGTAGCCGCAGACTGAATAGTGATGCCTTTTTCCCTTTCGAGTTCCATAGAGTCCATCTTGGCGCCGACGGAATCCTTTCCTCGAACCTCGTGGATCGAATTGATTCGGCCGGTGTAGAACAGGACTCGTTCACTGACTGTTGTCTTTCCACTGTCGATGTGGGCCTGTTTAGTTCTTGTTAGCAGAAGGGGGTGAAATGGTGACGGCCATTGATCATACAGCGATACCGATGTTGCGCACACGAGACAGGCGCTTGGCCTCCTCAGCGGACATGTTGGCGGCGACATACTCGGGTGTCAAACTAGCAGCGTCTTCCTGAGCTTTCTTGAGACTATCTATGATATGAGCATTGTGTTCAGCAAGCAAAAAGGGGAGCAATCGAGAACTCACGCTTCTTGCGCCGCACTGCAGCTACGCTTGGTCTGGCTGAAGGCTCGTCGACTCTCCCACGCGGGAGCAGCAGCTGATATAGTAAAAGAATGGCTACCGCAGCTTGGCTGCTGGGTGCCGAGGAGCAGACGGCAATTGAGCCATCTGGCAGCCCGTGTTGCCCTCATCTTGCAATCTTGGACTTCAGCAAAGAAGTTGAGGAGAGGGTTGCCAATGATCGACGCTCCATTGGAAACTTTTTTCTTTGGTGTCGGGATTAGCAGGATGGAGGTGTAGCGCCACATGCGTACGCAGTTCTGATTCGCTCAGCGCTTAATTCTCGCCATTAATGGCACTGTAACTTGGGTATTGGAGTGTGGGCGCCTCAACCGAACGCGTCCATGCCTCGAATGGAATGGAACAAGACAACGCCCGAACGTTCTCTTAAAGGATGTCAGCCATGCACTTGAATGCAATACATTCTCTAGTATTAAAGATATATTTTGAGTTGGTGAGAATTGAACAGGTGTCTCATTTGAGATCTGCCAAGGTGCAAAACTGCCAGCCAGTCTGCTCAGGTTGAGAACTCAGGGATTTTCTCGACTCGAGATTTGGAACATGTATACGCATCATTAACATTTGCATTTATAAGCATTCTTTTAGGCTTTTTATGCCATTCTTTTACTGGTATCATTTGTGTAGTCTCATCATCCATTGCGCCCTTTTTGTATCCTCATTACCGACGGCTCCGTCCGGCCGTTAAACGCCAAAATGAGCCCATGTCAATACAACCCTTGTTCAACGCCAGTGTCATGAACCTGTTAGCATCTGAAGCAGATGACTAACGCAATGTAGCCAAAACTCCTTAAGACGGCGTCATAAAAAAATGCTCGAGAAAATCCCTCCGCCTGCAAGCATAAAGCTCATAGTGGTAACGACCAGCGCCAAAGGTGTTGTCGGGGGGTCAAGCAATGATCCCGCGTTGTCCTCGTCATCATTTCCATTTGAGTCTGATTCTTGAAATCCCTCAGCAGCAGTGAAGTTATTACCTGGGACTGTTGGTTTCTCGGTTGCTCTGTGCTGATTGCTTGCTGCCGTTGCGGATGGGATGGTTGCCCCATAGCTCTTGAATGGGACTCGTTTGCTTTTCGTCGAATTGAAATCAGTAGCGGCAATTCCAACTTCGTTATTTACCAGATCATAGACGACATAGGCGGATCGAAGAAAGGTGTTGCCAAGTAGGTACAGATCGTTGGTGTCGTTTTGTATACCAAAGGTACATATGTTCTCGCCCTTGTAGGCACCGGATTCAAAGGCTGGCATATTGGCCGCGTCGCTGGTCATGGAAAGAACGAGCTCATCCATCCCTACACTGATGCTAGGACCGTCAGGGCCTGCGAATCCAAATGTGAAATTCCCTTGGTTCCTGCCATATGCACATGGTAGAACAGCTACTCCATAGTATGGCGACCAGACAGCACCAACTTCTTCCCAGATCTCATGAGCCAAATCTTGGGGAAGGTAGCTCAACGTGGTTCCAGAATCGAGAACGGCCTGAATAGGGAAACTATCGGAGGTAAGGACATCGCTGCCGCTGGAGCTAGTGGCGACCAGTGAGGTCAAGGCCACGACGAAGTGGTAGTAATGGCCATCCAACTTTTGAATGTCGATTCGGTGCATATCGCCCACGTACTTTGCTGTGTCAACCCCTCCGAATAGAATACTGCCGGCTTTGGCGTCTAGGTCGTTGAGCCACACACTGTAGGCGATGGTGTTGATGTAGCCTGCTTGGTACATCGCAACAGGAAGGTTGGGATAAATAACATCCGTGGTGCTGCCCGATGCCTCGTTCTTGGCATAACCAACGCCAATCAACCCATATGAAATGTTAGTCTTAATAGCCAGTCCCATGGTCAGATTGTTGATGACAGCGCCGTCCAACTCAAAGTGATCTTCAAAATAATCGCCCTTGACATAACTGTCATCTACAAAGGTGATGCCGAACATTCCGGGCGCGACATGTTTGAATGTTTTGGACTTATCGGGGTCAACTGTCAAATTGTCAATAATGAAGCATGATACTTGTCAGGGGTGCCATCTTACAGCTTCCAAGAGGGCAACCACTTTTTCCATTCTTGTCGTCCTCGCAGATATCTGCACAGTTCCAGGGAACCCATACATCACTACTCCCGGTATCGAGCTGAAGGGTAATATTCTGAGGTGGATTGCCGATCGTGACCTCAGTAAAGTAACCTCCCTCAGATCTGTCATTACTTATGATCTCTTCATATGTCGTTTTGGCGCGACGGGCCAAATGTGGTTGAGGATGGCGACCCTCGATGTTCCACTGGATGGTTTGGGCTTGCACAAGACCCAATGTCGAAACCAGCGAAGCACCCACAAGGGACGACTTCATTGCAGCCGCAAGGGAGAGGCAGGCAAGGGCCAGGAAGAGATGAGTTCAGGAATGGCGTTGGACGGAGTAACGCCACCCTCCTCCATAAGGTGAATAGGCGCGGGGCCAACCAACTGAGTTATAAGAATTTTGTAAAATGGCAAGTGCCTTTTGTGTATGAATAGGTAGGTCAGAGAGTAAGGATTTGAGACTTAAGTTGAGTTGGGTTGAGTTGATAGGTATCGGTTTGTTTGAAGGGCGAGGTAGTGCAAAGAAGCGCTTAACAGCTAGATTGGTTGCACTAGGACATAGGACACGGCAGGATGTCGCAAGAAACGCCAGCTAAGGAAACACAGGGTAAAAGACCCAAAGATGGGACAGATGTGGTGGAGCATGGGACAGCTGCAACTGTAAATGCAACTGATGAAGGAAGGGAATTTTGGAGAATATAAAAAGAACAAGGGTAGAAAGGAAAACAAAGTAACGAATCAGGGTTAACAATGAGTGAAAGATTGTCGATTGACAGGAGATGATGGATGAAGTGGAAGAAACGGCACGGGGGCCACGCAAGCTTGGTAACAAACGAGGAGCACACCAGACCAGACTCGGGACTTTCCCACTTGGATCACTAGTAAACTATTACCAACTCGGGAACTTGCCTCTTGACTTGAGTGCGTGCACGCTGTAGCGCCAAGATGTCTCGTTGACCCTTGCGCTAAAAAGGGTGAGTCGTCAGCGTCTCTCTGGACTGGGATGATGGGCAGAAACAAAACATAAGACGCAATGGGCTTGTGGTAGTGACCGTTTCTGTCTCGCGCTTTCTGTCACCCCTCAGCTGCAAATCCAAGGATCTGTGGGATGATGCGCTAGGTGGGCGGGTACTAGTTAGTTGTTTGAGGCTTACGAAGCCCGGTGCTAATTAATTATTTTGTCAATTCAAGTTCCATACGATCGGAAGCTAACAACATCCGTCAAAATTTCTACTGCCTTATATCACTTGCCAAAGTTACCATGGATCAATTTGACTCTACACCTTGCTTCTTGTAGAAAGGTACGGCTATCACGGCGTGTTGTAATTACCGACTTGAAAATTACCAAACATCAAAACTCTTGGTATCTCTGGATAATACGAGATTTGTACATGCTCGCAGACCAAGAAGAGCTGCCAAGAAGTGATCATCATCGCTATCGAATTAGAGTCCAGACTTGGAGACTGTACCTGGCAGATCAATTAACATTCTGAAAACAAAATGGTCGATCTGTCAGTCAAAATCGTTGGATTTGGCCCTTGTCTCCTGTCGTGTAGCAATCAACACTTGCATTCTCCCACTTTCCGTGTTGCCGTGCGAGTATTTGCACAACCCGTTGAACATTACCTACCAGCTGACGACGCCGCCTTGGCCAAGTTGAGTTGTAAATGCCGCTGATCCGTGCAACTCGGGGTCACTTTATCTAATGCAGTTCGATATGAACCAAATGCGAGATTCAGTGGAAGCAATTGTGTTACCTCTGGGCTGCCTAACTATAGTAAGTTTGCGTCGATGTAAGCACCCAATCGCTTCAATCCCTCGACTAGAACATGTGTCTCACAGACATACCCCATTCTTATGTATCCCTTAAAGTCCTCGTCCTTCCCAAAGCATTTCGAACCTGCTACAAACAAGACATTGTTCTTGCTCAGCAGGTCCAAGTAGAAATCAACATCGTTTATGGGTTGGCCATTCTTGATGAAACGAACAAATGCTGTCGTACCAACCGTGGGCTCTACCCAGGAACACACGGCTTTATAGCGTCCGGTAAACTCTTTGACCAGTTTCGCATTGTTTCTCGCCAGGGTCAAGTTGCGATCAACTAAAGAAGGGAGAACTGCTGGCGATAAGGCGTATCTCGCGACCTGGTCATCGATCTGGGAAACGCTGATTGTGGTGTAGTCTCGCGCGGCCATGATGGCTGAAATGATGCACTTGTCCTTGCTCGCAATCCAGCCGACCCTAATCTCAGCCAAAGCATATCCTTTGGACATGAATCCCGTCGTGATCGTTCTTTCATAACCCAAGGACGTAGCAGGCTTCGGTATGTCAATTTGACCAGAGGCCCCGCCATGGAAGAGTGGGCGATAGACTTCGTCAGAGAATAGGATGATGCCTTTCTCCTTTGCTATTTGAGCAATGCGCCCCAGTTCACTGTTATGGATAGGTGCACCGGTGGGATTATTAGGATTGTTTATGATAATCATCTAGCACAACAGTAAGTAACCATTTCTTTGTACCACTTGAAAATCTTCACCTTTGTGTTCTTTCGGATGAGGTTGATCAGCTCATCCACGTTGGGAACGAAGCTCTCTTCTTCCTTAAAGCTTCCATAATGAGACTTCAGCTCCAATGCTTCGCGGAACCTCATATAGCTGCTGGTATGTCGGATAGACGCAAACTACGTGATCATTTGGCCCAACGAGGCTATACAGGGCCAGGAAGTTGGCACCGATCGCACCTTGTGTAACAACAATATCTTCTGCAGCAAGTTTTGTGTCTTCGGTGCTGCACTGGGCAGCTATTCTCTCTCTTAATGCGTTGGAACCGGGGATAGGGCCGTATGTAAGTTTGAGGCTTGTATCAATGGGACCTTGTGCTTTGGGTCTTTGCACATGCCGACCAAGTCGTCAATCGATACAGACGCAGCACACGTCTCAGCAACGTTCAGGGCCTCAGGAGTTGTCTCATACTCGTCCATCCATTGTTCAACAGCGAAAGGTGCAATTCGAACCATGTTGAGGAAGCCTTGGATGTGGTCAGATTCTTATGACTGGCCGATTCCGATTCTTGTAATACTTGTTGATGGCGGTATCGTCCTTTTGAGTAGTACCAACTTCATGTGAACTGATTCAATGCTGACTTCAAGGTTAGTGGACCTGACAAGCCCCACATTCACACGCCCTTCTCTCTCGAAGCGCCATTCAACGTCATAATCGACTTTTACTTTGTCAGGTTGGGCAATTAACTATGGATTCACTGATCTATTGGAGCAATTGGTCGTGGACCACTGTCATAGGGGTCTGTGAATACCTCGTCGAGTCTATTGTGTGCAATCATGAGGGTGGTGGCAGTGGTTGCTGGTCATGATGATAAGCTGCCTGAGAGCTTCCCCGCAAAGCTTGATCGAGAACGACAGGGGTAAAATCTGGGGATAGCACCGCTAATATAACCTCTAGGTAGCTTCCACCATATCACGGGTATCATTCACATTTGGATACCAGGTCAAGTATCGTTGTAAGCCATCTTATCATCCTCGTGCGATATCTTCAGGTCTCTCAATTCAAGTTGGTTAGAAGGTTTGTATGGCGAAAGCATCCGTGAGTAGCGTTTTCAAGCGACCAGTATCAAAGGTCGTGGTTTATAAGGCGTCATGAGACAGTTCGATATTCGCTACGACATTTCATGTTTCAAGTCGACTGTTGGTCTATATATATTTATAGTGAGGTCAATCGAGCACTGCATGTTACATAGCCATATCGATGTAACAGTGTCAGCATGAATGTCCATGATATGTCGTCAATCCCGTCTAAGGCGGAAGAGTAGTTTGGCGACCTGGCGTAGTATTGGCACTACTATATGCATAATAACTGCGATCCGGGATCCGGGATACGAATATTAATTGTTCTGCCGCTGTACGGTGTCTAGTCTATAAGACAAAATGAGTTAGAAATAAAATACATTATGAAAAAAAGAATAAGCCTAGGGTGGTGAGATTTGTTGAGGGAGTAGGTGTAATCACAAGACGTGCTAAACGTTCATAAGCTGGAAAATTTAAAGACGACAAGACCTACGACCACTAGTAATTAGTAGATAATACGTTCACATTTTCGGCTCAGTGTTGGTCGATGGTGAATCATGGACATCTACTAATGTATAGTCATGAGCACAATTTGAGCTCAAGACAGCTAGACTTATCATCAGCTCGGTTTAGTGACGTCAGACCTCTATCTGAAACGCCAATGCGTGTCAGCGCATGAAATACCCTCATGACATCTGTATTTTCGTTCCATACGTGCATAGGAGGCTTGTCATCAGGGATATTTGATACGTGGGCAAGATAATTATTTCCATTGGCCGATTCCGGCTCAAGAAGTGAAGTTGTCATGCCCTCCATACGCTGGTTTCGACAGCCTGATAGCTCTATCGGGCCATGAGACCCATATTTAGCGGCTATGCCAGCCACTCATAATTTACCCTTCGGCCAGCTGCACGTCTCCAGTACCTGCCTAAATGGAACGCGGGGCGCCACTCTTCGGTGAAACAGCTTATCCCGGTCGCGCTCATAAGCGTCGGTTGTTCAACAAACCAGCCTCCAACATCAACATTGTTCTATCACCAGACTGCATCGTATTCCCATCGCTGCAGTTATGGCTCCTTCTTCTCTGAGGAGCCTCCTATTGGGAGCTGTGGCTCTTTGGCCTGGTCTGGTCATGGCTTCCCATAACTCAACTTACTCTCAGGCCGACCAACTACGGGCACAGCTAGCTCTCATGGGTGATCGACCAGATGGCTGTCCTCCTTGGTGCGTCAATGCGATTCCGAATCTCCACGAATTTACATTGCCCATACTGATATATCTATAGCTTCAACTGTCTCCTTCCCGCACATACATGTGCTCAATACGCTGGTTGTAATGAGTTCAACGGAAAATGCGCCTGTCCTGAGGGATTTGGCGGTGATGACTGCCTCGAGCCACGTGCGACCTCCTCCCGTTATCATCAGATAAAACTCGACTGACTATCTCTATTAGTGTGCGGCTCACTTCCCAAGGGAAAGGACCGCCCAATGCGATCTGGTGCATCATGCGATTGCGACGAGGGCTGGACTGGCATCAATTGCAACGTCTGTACTGACAATAAAGCCTGCAACGCACTCATGGAAACCGGCGAAGGCGGTGTCTGTTACCAGAATGGTGAGGTTGTGAACCACAACTATCAGATCTGCGATGTCACCAACGAGAAGATCACGTCTTTACTCGGCAAGCAGCGTCCAGAAGTCACATTCACCTGCAAACAAGAGGATCAGACTTGCGATTTCCAATGTGTGTTCAAACCCTCCTCATTCGCGCACGCTGCTAACCTTTATGCGAAGTTTGGGTAGATGCTATCGAATCCTTCTACTGCCATCTCTCCGAATGCGATTCGAGTGCCGATTGGGAGGAAGAGAAGAACACAACTTCCTACAAATGCAATAAGATCAGCTGCAGCTGTATTCCCGATCGAATGCTTTGCGGAAAAGATGGATCCATCGATCTCACAGACTTCCTTGACCAATCTATTCAAGGTCCAGGACGATTCGAATGTACTCAGAAGCATGGCGGTACTCACGACTGTGCTTTCAGAGAACCCGAGATGGACGCCTTGATTCTAGCCCTAATTGGAGACTCCAGCATTCTTCTTAGCTGCCACGCTGGTGAATGTCTCTACGAGACAGAGGTTCCAGGATATAAGCGACCCGTCAAGAAGATCAACACACCTCTTATTGCCGGCGTGATTGCGGGCTGCTCTCTCTTCTTGGTTGCTGTCATTATCTTGACATGGTATCTGTCAAGGCGCAAGTTGAGCTATGGGGCTATCCGCTTGGAGGACTCGGACGACGAGAGTACGAAACTGATGACCGACCACAAACCCGCTTCACTCTACTTTGACGATGTTGCGTACACTTTGAATGGTAAACAGATTCTTACTGGAATCCGTGGTATTTGCAAGCCCGGAGAGGTCACCGCCATTATGGGTGCGTCTGGAGCAGGAAAGACAACATTCCTCGATATTCTCGCACGAAAGAACAAGCGTGGACATGTTCATGGCAACTTTTACGTCAACGGCGAGAAGGTCAACGATAATGATTACAAGAATGTTGTTGGGTTTGTTGATCAGGAGGATACCATGCTCCCTACCCTTACCGTTCATGAGACCATTCTCAACAGTGCTCTACTTCGACTTCCTCGCGATATGGGCCGTGCTGCCAAAGAACAACGTGTGGTTGAGGTTGAGAAGGAACTCGGCATTCATCATATTCGCGATTCCCTGATCGGTTCTGAAGAGGGCAAGGGGCGTGGTATCTCGGGCGGTGAGAAGCGACGTGTAGGAATTGCTTGCGAACTGGTTACCAGCCCTTCGATTCTCTTCCTCGATGAACCGACCAGTGGTCTCGATGCCTACAATGCGTACAATGTGGTTGAGTGTCTCGTCACTCTGGCGAAGACATACAAACGAACCGTCATTTTCACAATTCATCAACCTCGATCCAACATTGTGGCACTCTTTGACAGACTCGTGCTGTTAGCACAGGGACGTACCGTTTACTCTGGTCCTTTCAACCAATGTCAAAGTTATTTCGACGGAATCGGCTACGAATGCCCCCCTGGTTTCAATATTGCTGATTATCTTGTTGACCTTACCATGCATGCCGGCAGCACTCAATCTGTTGATAATGGCACTGTCGGCCTTGACAATAACAGTGTTGGGCCAAGCAGCACCCGTGCTATCAAGTCTGTGGCAAGCATATCAGGCACTACTTCGGGAGACGACGACGCCAGCTCGAGCCGACCTCAGAATCGACGTAGAGACTCGGTCAAGGTTCGCCAGGATCGCGAGCTCTTCACACGCAGAAAGACGGTTGACACTGCAGCCTCCTCAGATGCTGGAGGTGAAGACAACGGTGCCTATCGCCTTCATCAAAACCCTGTCGACTCTACTACCGCAACCCTTCTTGAAGACCCCCATGACTTGCCTCCAGCAGCAGCCACTGGTACGGACCTCGACATTATGACACGTGCATTCATCCACTCGGAAATTGCTTCCTCAACACAGGATGAGATCCAACGAGCCATTCGCATCGCGCAAGATGCCAATGGCTCCAACGCAAATGGCTACACTGTTGAGGGACCCAATGTTCATGTCAGTGCTGTTGGAAAGGGCTATGCCCGAGTTGGCTACTTACGTCAGTTCATCATTCTGTCTCAGAGGACTTGGAAGAACTTGTATCGAAACCCGATGTTGATGCTTACCCATTTCGCTATCGCCATCGTGCTCGCCGTTTTTTCAGGATATCTCTTCTATGGTCTCACGGACGACATCCCCGGCTTCCAGAACCGACTTGGTCTCTTCTTCTTCCTGCTCGCTTTGTTCGGTTTCAGCACACTCACAAGTCTTAACGTATTCGCCACCGAACGACTTCTTTTTGTTCGCGAACGTGCCAACGGTTACTATGCGCCAGCCACTTATTTTGCGGCCAAGGTACTGTTCGACATAATCCCTCTTCGAATCGTCCCCCCTATCCTTATGGGTTCCATAATCTATCCTATGACTGGCTTGGTGGCCGATTCAACGCACTTCTTCAACTTTATATTGGTGCTGGTACTCTTCAACATGGCTGCTGCGGCTGTTTGTCTCTTTATTGGAATTGTTTGCAAGGATGGCGGTGTCGCGAACTTGATTGGCAGCTTGGTCATGCTTTTTAGTCTTCTTTTCGCTGGCTTCCTCCTGAACCACGATGCCACTCCTAAGGGTGCTCTTTGGCTCCAGACGCTGTCGATTTTCCACTACGGCTTCGAGTCGCTTATTGTCAATGAGGTTCTTCAACTTACCCTCGTGGACAGCAAGTACGGACTGGATATCACGGTGCCTGGCGCGGCCATCCTCAGCTCCTTTGGATTCAACAATAATGCCATGTGGCCTGACATCAGGAATTTGGGTATTTTTGCTGCCGTCTTCATCATCTTGTCTTACGCTGCTATGCATTTCTTGCTCGTCGAAAGACGATAAATCAGCATAGAGGGATTGGTCATTGTGTAAGGCCTTAAAGTTAAGGAGAACGATGTAAGTGTCATTGCTTGCGGTGATAATATACATAAGATGTATGTCAGGCATACGTGAGTCATACTGGGCGTTTGGATGGGGGCACGTTCTCGTTCTTTCATGGGTTATTGTATCAAGTCTCACAATATATGTAGAATCGCATTTTAAAGTACATTTTGAATGCACACATGAGTCCGTGGTAGGCCGCTTGAAGACGTGATATTTGTCAGAGTTACAGTAATACATGAATACAAGTTGTTTTTACAAGCCAAAGGGCATGATCTATTCCATCTTTCCACCAGTGAACTCCTCGGCAATTCTCTTCTGTCGCTTGACGGAGCGGTCGTACTCGGTTTCGTAAAAGTCCATAATCTTGGTGGATACTCCTGTTGTGGTTTCCAACATGTTGCCAATCGATGTTGGCTTGCCCCAGACGTCCCATGTGTTCTGGGCTGAACCATATCGGCCGATGTCGAATCCTTGCTTGTGGAAGAAGTCTTCGGCAAATATGGTCTCAATCTCTTCCTTGAGCTCACTCTCATTGACAATGAAGTTGGAGGCATTGATGTAGAGCTCCATCAACGCATCGCGGCGAGCCTCGCGCTTAGCTTCCTCAATAGCCTTTACCTTGACGCGGCTTCTCTGGGCATGAATGAAGCGGCCAGGGTCAGGGTATGTCTTGGTGTCCAAAACTGCCTTCAGCACTGTGCTACGGGTGAGGCGATCGTCCTCTCGCTCGGGGGCCTTAACAGCCCGGTGGTTCTCGAGAAACTTGTGGCTCACACGCTCGTTCTGAACAGCATCACGACGGTTCCTTCGTACCCAAAGTTCCTTCAAACCAGTTTCCAGGTTCTGCCGACGGGAATTGGCCATTGTTTGCTTCCATTCTTGTGTTTCGTTCTTGGGTTTTTGCTTGTGGGCCGGCTTAGGAACGGTTTGCTTGATGTAATCGGCTCGAATCTTGCGGTCACCCTCCATACGAGGGAAGATCTCTCGAGGTACGGGGAGGTGACCTCTGACCCGGGGAAGCTTCTTCTCTTCGGACTGGGGTGGTGTAGGCAAGCGGATGTATGAGGGAGACTCGGGAGGGACTTGTTCGAGAGCAGGAGCCGAAGTGGAAAAGGCTCTTGCGGCCACGAGGAACTGACGAGCAGCCGCCCTCGGGCATGAAGTTGTGAGGCTAAAAGGCATTTTGAGAAGAGCCTCGGCCAGGTTGAGCACTGAGGAACTCGAGTTATATCGCAATTGACGCCGTTCCCCCCGTCGTCAAATCGGCTTCTGCAGAATCAATCACCTGCCTGAGAAAATCGACGTCGGATCAAATTTGCGGATTATCTGGTTCCGCGTGCGAGACCCCTGGCATTTTACCGCCCCGCCACCAACCACCGTAGGAGGTTAGTGGGGCTCTTCTCCTACTAAGAAAAAAAAAGTTCTGGAGGAATAAATTTCTGGATTGTTCATCCTCTTCCTCTCTCTTTGTCTTTCTTTGTCGCCAGTATCCTCGACCAAGTTCCGCCATTTTTTTCGCCATGGGTACTGGAAAGAAGGAGGCCACCCGGCGTGAGCGCCAGGGTAAAGGTGGTGATGGTCTCAACAATGTCAGAACTAAGGGAGAGAACTTCTATCGCGATGCGAAGAAGGTCAAGCACCTTAACATGTACAAGGAGGGCAAGGCGCAGAGAAACGCCGAGGGAAAGATTGTCAAGGCTGCCTCCTTTCAGTCGCGCGACATTCCTAACGCCCGCATCGAGCCGAACCGCAAGTGGTTTACCAACACCCGAGTCGTCTCCCAAGACACCCTCAACGCCTTCCGTGAGGCTATGGATGAGAAGGCCCGCGACCCCTACCAAGTTCTTCTCAAGTCAAACAAGCTGCCCATGAGCCTTATCAGAGATGGAAAGGACACTGAGAACGGTATCAAGCAGCACAAGGCCAAGATGACCGTCGAGACCTCTCCCTTCGCTGAGGTCTTCGGTCCTAAGGCGCAACGCAAGCGAGTCAAGCTTGGTGTTAGCAGCCTGGATGACCTTGCTGGTGACACCGAGAAGAGCATGGATACCTACCGTGAGCGGCTGGAACAACAGAAGCTTCTCAGCGGCACATCTGGTGATCCCGAGACTCTTGGAGACACTGATAAGCCTCTCACCATGTCGATTGAGCCTGTTTTCGACAAGGGTCAGAGCAAGCGAATCTGGAACGAGCTTTACAAGGTCATCGATTCTTCAGATGTGGTTATCCACGTTCTCGATGCCCGAGATCCCGTTGGAACAAGATGTCTCAGCGTCGAGAAGTATCTCAAGGAAGAAGCCCCTCACAAGCACTTGATCTTTGTTCTGAACAAGTGTGACTTGGTCCCTACCAGTGTAGCAGTAAGTTTTTCTTCTTTCTTCATGTCTTCATCTCCCTCCTCCTATACCCCAATGTTCTTTGTCAGGATTTGTCCCTTTATGTACCATGGGACCTGTCTGTTATAACATTGGGAGAATAACCGCCAGTCTCGACTGTCGTCAACGTCTTGTTGTTCGGCTGATGTGTGCCGTTTTGGTTACCATTATGAGACAGGCCAAGTGTCCGATTGAGTTGAAGTCTGCCTATGCCATTAACCAATTACGGGGCATCGATTGCATACTTCTTAGTGATGACACAAACATCTTGCCGCCCGCAATTTATGTTCTTTATCTTTATAACTTTGTTCGAATGCTAATTCGATGCAGGCTGGATGGGTTCGGAGTCTCTCTAAAGAGTACCCTACTCTTGCTTTCCACGCTAGCATTACGAACTCTTTCGGAAAGGGTTCTCTCATTCAGTTACTTCGACAATTCTCTTCCCTCCATTCTGATCGAAAACAAATCTCTGTTGGACTGATCGGTGGACCCAATACCGGAAAGTCCTCCATCATCAACACTCTCCTCAAGAAGAAGGTCTGCACTGTCGCTCCTATCCCAGGAGAGACTAAGGTCTGGCAATATGTCAGCCTGATGAAGCGGATTTACCTAATCGACTGTCCTGGTATTGTTCCTCCATCAAGCACTGATTCACCCACCGACTTGGTTCTTCGAGGTGTCGTGCGCGTGGAGAAGGTCGAGCACCCAGAACAGTATATCCAGCCTCTGCTGAACCGGGTCAAGCAGCACCACATGGAGAAGACATACGAGCTTAAGGGATGGACAAACTCTACTGAGTTTCTTGAGCTCCTGGCCCGGAAGGCTGGACGTCTTCTCCGTGGAGGTGAGCCTGATTTGGATGGTGTAGCAAAGATGATTCTCAATGATTTCATGCGAGGCAAGATTCCATGGTTCACACCTGCGCCAAAAACTGAGGGTGAAGCGGACGGTAAGGTTGGAAACCGTGAAGGTAGACTTGGAGAGATGCCTCGAAAGCGAAAGCAGGAAGAGACTGTTGAAGATGAAGATGCTTCTGCCGAAGCCCAGCTTCAACGAGAGGCTGAAGCCGCTGAGAAGGCCGAGCAGGAGAGCCCTGATGGTTCCGATGAAGAATCAGAGTTTGAAGGCTTCGGCAGTGACACTGAGGAAGCACGATCAAGAAAGCCTTCGTTTGGTGCTACTGTGGATGGTGAAGATAGTGATGGTGAGAGCGCCGACGATGACGTGATATCTATCGGTGGCTCTGAAGTAGATGAAGAACAAGAGGAGGAGGCACCTACACCTGCAGCTAAGCAGAGTAAAGGAAAGAAGACAAAAGGCGGTTCTCCAAACAAGAAAAGGAGGACATGATCGGCCTGGAGTCGATCAAGTTATAGTCTTTATCTTCATTCGAGGTACCTGCTTGCGCATCCTCAACCAAACCCTTAATGATACCCACGTTAATACTTGCACACCCTGAATTTCGCTCTTGAAGTGACATGACCTCTTTCTCAACTCAGACAAGCAGAATGACTGTTGGCTTTGTCTCCAATGCCGCTGAGCTATGTCCTTTGTCTTCAGCTTAGGGTAAGTTTAATTAGTTTCTAGTTATTGATTATAATGCCACATCTGCAGAATGCTAGCTATAATATATAACTAAGACTCTGCAGTTCTTGATATAAGTCTTTTAATGCCTGCTACTTATTTAAAGACCGACCTAAGATACATTATTAGGCAAACTAGTATTTAATAATCTAAAAATCAGAATACAAGGCATAGAAAAGGGTGAGAAGGCAAAAAGATTGCCTCCGCACAGGATTGAACTATGGACCTTTGCATTACAAGTGCAACGCTCTACCACTGAGCTACAAAGGCAATTAGTAATCAGCGTGCTCAAAAACAATCAATATGAAGCCAAGGTTGCCTCAAGATCTCCTCCCACCCTCACTTGTTCCAGCTTGTGTCTCTTACAACAACTCCAGTAGTCTCACTAACAAACATGTAGTATCATTATGTTTCATAAACCAGGAGACAAACGTAATTAGTCTCTCGATAAAACCTGATATATTAGTCACTCTTGCAATGAATGCTTCCGTATCCATCTTGTTACACTTGTACTGTGAAAAGAGTAACAAATATGTCAAGCTGAAATATGACATTGGAAATCTCTCGTAGATACTGTTTTTTTGGGCGTCGCCGTTCTAATTGGAGATGCTGATGCTGTATGTAATAACTATCGCCCAATTGATCCCCAAAATTCCAAATATGCACTGATAAATGGTGTAAAGACAACCCTGCCTTTTGCGGAACAGAAACGAACAGAAACAAGGTAACGGTAAACATTACAACATATCCGCTTCATTTGAACCCAACGCTGAGAGCTATCTCAGCTCTGAAATAGACATCTGAAGCTACCATAGTATAACGGTGTGGTTCAAGCTTGGGCACGTGGGACCAGCAAAAGGCAATTCCACAGCTCTGGTACGTATGTATTCAATCAACCTCACTCGACCTATGCGTGCACACTGCGCTATCGCGTCTTCTGGCCGAGTGTATCGCCAAGTATCATCCATGCATCCTCGACATATTGCGGTATATCAACATGGACGATAGAGCCTTTGCCTCGCGGCCCGTATCCATTCTGGTCGTCTCTCATTCGTGGAATTTCGCCAACAAGTAGAGACATAAGTCGTTCCATACCCCAAAGACCGTTGGCTTGGTTGTTGTAAAACTCTGCAATCTCATACCGCAAGTAGGAACTGAGACCGCCCACTTGGTTTTGAGCTATAGAGTCTTGAACCGCCACCCTGGGCACGAAGGTTGGCCAGCCGGCAAACACAGGAGTATCGTCCATCTTATCAGAATAAACTTGCTCAAAGGCAGCAACTGTACGCCGGCACATGGTGGGATCTTGAGCGACGACAATAGAATATGGTGATGTGTATCCATGCTGGTCTAATACCTTTCTCGTGAACACTGCATTTAGTGCACAATTTGTTGAGGCATCCTCGATCAAAATAGTGAGCTTTTGTGTTGGGTGCTTTCCGGCGGTTATGAGGCTGCCCTTTTCAACTTCAAGGTGAAAGAATTGCTCGACAATGGTCTGGAAGACCCGAGCCTCTGGTTGTCCCTGAACTTGGCCAGTAATGCTATTGTACTTGGGATGTCGAGCTACAGCATCATATAGCAATTGGGTCGAGTGCCCGATGCCACCGGTGATGACCAGAACAACCGGTTCATCTGCTACGGCAGAATCAGTCACTTGTTGGATCGATAATGTTCATCTTTGTCCCCGCCATGAAAACCTACCCATTGCCTCGACCAATTTCACCACCGATGATATGACTGTATCTACAATGGATAATATTGCAGAGCCGCACAAAACAACTACCGCCACAGAAACCGGGCTTGTTTTGACATTCAGCTGCTTCTTGGTCGCCGATGAGCGGAAGAGGGCGCGGTGCAGATCTGACAGAGTGCAGACTTGCTCGTGAGCAACAAATTCCGAGATGATGTTTGCAGCGTCAGCCGCTTTTGAGACTTTATCTGGGAATATATCCATTGCATTTGATCGAAAATTTATTGGTCAGAGTCACGCGAGACAGGTGTCGACCTCAGTAATTAGTACAGAGAGGTTTATAGGATTCGGCGTGAGCAAATGTTGACGAAGCGGAGTATCCGGAAACGGAAAATCCGGTTGGCGATGGTAACAATTCGCAGCGTGAAGTCTCCTCATGTTTTGATATCGAGGAAAACTTTAGTTTGATGCCCAATCTAATAATGGTCTCGTAACTGAGTTTTGTTTCGTGTATAATCGAGTTGTTGGGCATATCATGTATCGAATCCCAAGTTCAAGTTCTTACAAGCACACGATATCCATAATGAGCTGAGCCATAGGAATTTTGAGAATCAGGAAGGATTGAATAGCATGGATAGTTTTATTTGCACCTCGAGTGTTTATCTGTGCACCAGAACCGTGTTCATAGAATAAATTGAGAGTTACTGCCTCATTTCTCCGTGTTCAGGTCACCAAGAACACTTGCTTGTACCATCACATGGAGATGTCAGTGAGTATTGATAATGAAAGAGCTGAGAAAGTATCTCGCAGGTTTTGCTAGATGAAGATGTAGTGGCGAAAGAGACTCGATGCGGGCTTATTTCTTCGCGAAGGGACTTGAGACTTGATCCTGCTCTCTTCTATTACAGACCAAGTATTGATGAGTTCTTTCATCCAAGAAGCCGTTCAATTGTTCGGAACTCTCTCCTTATAGAACACGATAGGCAAACATCAGCACTGTTCAGTCGATCGCAAGATATGGAACAAAGCCTGGCCAGCGATTCAGAAACACCAAGAGAATTAGATGATTCTAATAGCTTTTTAAGTTCAAGAATTAAAAGGGGGCAGACTGTTATTTCCAGTGTTGAAATAAGCGCTACTCTAATGTTGACAGTATGTTCAACTTCTTAACGAACATTACTGAACTTAGGAAAAAACCACCTACAGGAGTAAACTCCTTGTTATAGTCATGGCTCAGGTGAATCTTACCCCACAACCTCTTCTCAACATCAGTATCTGAACTTCTGCGTTGCATCACCCGAAGGAACAAGACGCGCTAAAAATACCTTCGAGGTAAAGTTCAGTCGCGAGTTTGCTAGGCATAGACGGAGGCCACTGCGTGCCTTACATCCATGCCTCGCAGTGGCAGCTGAAACGGCTGCCACTGCGAGCTCAGGATCTCTGCCAGTGACATTTGTCACTCAACGCATCGTTTAACAACGGAATAGCAGAGCAAGGTAAGTAAACAACAATGTTCCCCCACTTCGGACACATTAATCTTGTCGCCTCTCTCCGTACTCCTCTTCGTTTGTTCACCTTTCATCCTCTTGTTCTGGTTGTGGGTATCGTGTCAAGAACATCAACACCAACTTTAATTTTCTTCACCTATCACCTATCAGCCACCACCTCCCTAGAGAAGCCTCACGCGTAGCAGACGAACTTAAAATGAATGGTATCTCCGCACCTGGAGAGCCTCAGGTGGTGCGCAACGGCCTACAATCACCTCCTATCAACACCTCGAAAGACATGGCAAGCCGCCTCGCATCCAAACCCCACGATGCCCAACCCAACTATGATGTTATGTCAACTGGATCGAATATGGTATGTATTTTACAGTGGTAATCGCTTCTGCGAAAAGAGACACTTACCATACCTCTAGAAGGCGAGCGGAAACCTGATCGATGCAACTGACGATTTGGCCAACATCGGAGACAATAATGCTTCTTAGGGTTCGTTTACCTCCATGGCTATAGCTCTGCCTTGCACCGGAATTCAACGCTAACAAGTACCAATAGTAGGAGCATACAGCCCGTCCTCACAAGGTACTATCCAAGACTGCATCACTGTGGCTCCCCGTCATCCTAAGGCGCCGATGGCGCGAGGGAGCTCATCCGCTGCTCTTCGGCGAGGTGAGGACGGTCCGAAATACGATCTCACAACACTTGCGAATCCTATCCGACCAACTAGTGGACTTCATGTCCCGATGTTTAATCTGGAACAGGTTTATGACATCTTCAATGACACCCCTTGGGGAAATCAACAAAGCGACGCAGTGGGGGAGCAGAATCCCACCGAGCGTCGCCAAAACAACAAAACTGCTCAGTCTAGAGCCTCGAAACAAACAAAGAGAAACCCCCTTGGACCTCGAGCTGGCTCGGGAGTCTCCAAGACACCCCGTCTGCACAAGCAGCCTGGCACGCAACCCAAGCGATCTAAGAATCTTCAGGGGAAGAACCCAATCGATGTCGTTGCTAGAGGAGCCTCCTCAACCCCCAGCAGCCCAAGCGACCCGGCCCCTTACTACGAAGTTGCTCGCGCTCCCAATCTCAGCAGACCTATTCCTGACTTTGACCCAACTTTGATTTCTACTTGTCCTAAGCCGCTATCGCCTTCAGAGATGTTAGATGGAGAAAAATACTTCCTCTATCAGATGGCCACGGCTCGTCATCTGGCCTTCAACGGAGTTTCGGGCCCATACCAGATTGGCCACTGCTTGTGCGACGTCCATAAGGCAACCGGGAATCTAGTCAAGTTTGCACGTGCCTGCACCGCTCCAAATGGCGAAAGATATTGGCGCCATCTCATGACAAATGCGTCTATAAAGGCTCAAGATGGGTCCAGAATGGCAGGCAAGCCAGTTGCACTCTCAAATGGAGCCCTGGTTTGGATGGCAGACGAGGAGGGCAAGATTATAGCTCCTGAATGGACATTCAACGAGCCCCAATTCTTGCCTGGATCCTCGGACGACCAAGAAATGGGACAGTATCCGAAGCAAGCTCAGCAGGGGACCAACCCAATCCATCCTGGACTCAAGACTACTAGCAAAGATCCTTTTTGGTGGTGAAGGACACAATATCGTTACCAAGTTGCATGGACGGAGCGAAGAGCGTCCCAAGAGAATGTTCGTGCACATGCCTGGAAATGGACACATTCAAGCTTGGCCTTGTGCTTGAGTCTCTTCAGTCTTTGTGTTCATAAGACAAATCTCATACGGAGTAGGAGTAAAGAACTGTGTTTGGATTGTTTTGACCCGGAGGGTCTTGGTTAATACGTTGATGCATGGTCGAAACTCGTTGTTAGTTGATCTCTGGAGTTGGACTTACTCGATTTTGAGTTTTGATGAAATTCTACCAGGTCATGTTAAGTAGCAATTCCTAGAATTGGAAGCAGGAATGTGTTTCTATCATTACTAGTTAATAATAATGCTAATTGTCAATGAATAAGTGGTAGTTGTCAAAACAAGTGGCTATGATTGATGATTACGGAAGAATTGCGCACCGACCTCAATAGCATCATCGAAAAAAAGATGCCCACCCTGACGTCTGTCTGTCAATTGACGCCACTTTTGCTCTATACTTCCCCGCCAACGCGCAGTCTTTGTAAATTGTCAACTCTTTTTGTTCACATTTTGCGTCTATCCATTACTGTCAGACAAAATGGGCTCTTCGTCTTCGAAAGTCGCTAAAGGCGCAGCGCGAAAGTATCCTGCTCGAGCTCCTGGAGCTGCTGTCCCGCAAGCAGTAGCCCGTCAACCAAGGGCAGAGGCACCCAAACCAAAGTCAAAAACCTTGGGGAACAGTGCCAAAGACGACGGTAGATCGATTGGAACTTATCATGTCTACTGCAACATCTAACTCGTATGTGTAGCTGTTCGCGCTGACGCTATGGACCCCGACTTCCCAACCGGCGACTTCTCACGCCGTCTACACCAGATGGGAATTGCTGACTCGAACCCTACATATTCTCCTTCGTCTACAGCCGCGACCCCTCTCGGACCTTCAGCTCCTCCAGGACCTAGCTTTGCACCGAGTCGAAGCAACCCAACCCTCGTAGCGCTCTCAGCTCGAGATCGACTACAAGACGAAGCGGAGGAAGATTTCGCAAACATGGGACGCGAGGGCCGACGATTCCTCGATATGAGGACGTTGGTGGATGCTATGAAGTTCCGCGATCGAGGGATACCCGAGAAGGAGATTGAGTCAAGATTAAGGATACAACCTGGGCTGTTGAGCAAACTTGGACAGGAGAAGACCTTTTCGCATGTGACAAGTCCGAACTGAGGGCAAGGAACGAGGGAATAGATGGAAAGTCGTCACGATATCCGCAAGGAACGATGTGACAAGTATATTACGATTGTACAATATCATGTTTCTCCTCACTCAAGAGATAGCAACAAACGATACCCGAGAACATACCTCCAAGGCCCAGGTTGCTGCGACTGAATTGCTTTGGCCCAGAACCTACGTTCTGCAACATGGCTCTACCACGCAGCATGGCCACCATCCATGCGAAGGTCAGCACCCGTCATGAAGCTACTCGCATCACTCAAAAGAAAGACAGCAGCACCGCGATACTCTTCTGGGGTGCTTAGACGGCCGAGCATGTTCTCTTTGGGCCACCTCTCGCGACGACCAGGATAGTCGTTGAAGAGATTTTGAAGCATCTGGGTTAGAATGTAGCCAGGAGAGAGGGTATTGACGCGGATGCCGTGTTCTCCCCATTCCATTGCAAGATTACGGGCAAGCTGTACGACTGCAGCTTTGGAGGGGTTATAAACGCTGATAAAGTGTTAGTAGCTGAACATCATGATCCGAAGTCGTACTTACGGCGCGAGCATGCCCTTGTTGGCGATGGTTGCGCTCATACTGGCAATCATGACAATACTACCAGGCTGTTTAAGACGAATCATCTGACGAGCAGCTGCTTGGGCAGTCATGAAAGCCCCGGTGAAGTTGATGCTCATCATTCGTTCGGTTTCTTCCATCGAGTAGTCAATTGCTGGTGTTTCGTGGTTGATACCCGCAGCAGCGATGAGACCATCTAGACGACCTGCGCCATTGGCGATATCTTCGAAGATGCGATTGAGATCTGGGACATCTCTTACATCGACTTGATGGTAATGAAGTGAGGTACCAAGTTTACGCGCTCGGTCTGAGACTTGTGAGAAGTTGGACTTTGGATCCTCAACTGGCGAGGGCAGTCTATCAACAGCGTGGACTATTATACTCAGAATTTAGCAATTGATATACTCTTAATGGTCTCTCTCACCAGTAGCTCCGGCTTCAATAAGAGCTTCAATCTGAACAAGACCTAAACCTCTCGCGCCTCCCGACACGACAATGGCTTTGTCTTTGAGGCTGAACTCTGGTAGAAGATGAGGCTGACCCAGTGCCGCATTGTGTTGAGGAGGAGTGCAGTGAAAGGCACGAATAGCTACTGGGACATATCTCGTTGTTGGGCGAGGAAAAGCTTGTCTCTGGAGAGGCTGACGAGCCAGTGTTCGAAGGATGGGAGAGAACTTGTTCATTGTGGAAGCTTATGAGGCTGGCGATACCACAGATGCTTACATATATTCTAGGACAGACTACGTTCAGTGGTAGCTCGGGGTGCTTTTGTACCAAAGTCAATGGCAGCCATTAATTACATGCGATGGCCACGAGGGGAATGCTCAGTACGGATAGATTCTAGTTGCATCAGTGGCGGTTCTTCGTCACCTTTACCGCACTCCGGAAGAACAAGTCACGGGGGATCTTTATGCCCCAGAATGGGAATCATCATCAATTCAGACATTGTCGAGGGTGTGTATGAAGAGAATGTGCCTCGGTCTTGCAGAATGAAGTCGATGACAGGCCAAGCTTTCCTATCCCCGGAGCCACTAGGACGTTATTGATGATCCCGGTGAGGCTCGGGTTTCCTTGCAGAGTTAAATCAGGTCCTGGCTGAGCGAGGATCACCGTCAGCCATTTGACTCCCTACCTCCCTGGCTTACTTACACTTGATCTCCAGCTGTGTGTCAAGGTTTAGGTGCAAGTTTGATGAGCATTTACTCTAACATGAATGTCTCCCTCGGGGCATTGGCTGTCCTATGGCTCCAGGATAGCAGAAGTCAAAAGAGAGATCATTGCTGAGGATGCAAGTTACAGCATTTCGGGTGATGGTTGCGTTAACGTGGGGAATCGGGCGGAGTCACCTCCGGATCTGCACCCCGCCCCCAGCTTTTGAGCTTCTCTATGAACAACTCTCCAGCTGCATCTCAGCTCTTGAACTCAATTAGTCCTCCCGCAGTAGCTTTGGATCTGGCATGGAGTGGAATGCTAACTTTGGTGATGGTGGTGCGTTCATTTGCTAAGACTGCGAAGATCTCAGGTTGGTGTTCTCTCGACAATCATGACACAGACTGTTGATGCATGGACTTTCAGCTCTGGCCATCGAATGAACGAGAGTCAATCTGAGGCCTTGTACCCTCCAGATCGCCTGGATATGCGCTGGTCACGGCCGGCCTCTATATGGATACCGGTGCTGCACCGCGTCACGAGGTATCGTTGAAAAGAGGAATCCCGTAGAACGAGGCCCTCTTCGTTTCGCTTCCTCGGTGTGGATTGCACCGAGGCAGATATCAATACTGTGATTTGCCTTGCACAAAATAGATCTACACAAGGTTCATTAGTTTGTGACGAAAATCTTGGTTATTCCATCATCGATGATACATAACGTGGACATATCTAGAAACACAACTAACATATCAGTATTATCTCAACAAAGAGGGACAAATCTGATCGAGATTTCGATCCCGGTAGACACTCAATTGGTATTTCTCAAAACAAGCCGGAAACAACTAGCGCAGATGATATTGGTTGTCGAAGGTAGTGCCAATGGTTCTTGCGTGGAACAATATGTACATACTTGGAGGAGCATATGATGGAAAGTGAGTGGGATAGAACGCCCCCGCGTGCTGGCTCTATCAATTAATACTTGTTCCTAAATTGCCGAAAAGAGTTTCTTGCATTTGGGAACGAGACCTTGTGGACAATGCTCGGGATGCCAGCTGGCGTAACTACTTGATTGCCTAATATGGGAACCCGAAATCTTCATGATGCGACTATAAGCATTGTACATCGACTTCGATCACAAATCCCCAAGATTAGACAGAAAGTCTGCAAGCATCTGACTCCTTGGATTTGAAGTAGTGGCCATGCATGAAGGTTACCTGGCTTAAATTTGTCGTACACGTGAGCCACAGAATCCAGCAATGGCCCATCATGACTCCCATGCGCAGTATCCTAGAGCTCTGAAGCCAGCTGATCTGCCGCTGGATGTATTCCTGAAGAAGTCCAAATTAATACCGAGATTGGCTTTTCCTAGACCTTGCATCAGGTTCCCATCTATGGACGACCGCCTGTTCTGACAGAGACCCAATATTGTACCTACCAATGCACGCCATGATAGCTGACTGGGGAACAAGGACCATCTGCGAGTTAATGCACTTTATATTACCAGGAACTGAGAACATTTGAGGCCTAGATACGGTAAGCTTTTACAGCAGGACATGGATCGTCAACGAAGCAAAGGAGTGACCGGCATCTGAATTATCATGAGAACTGCCAACAATCTGAGTTAAATCATAAAATCAAGAGGATGCATTAACGCCTTTTTCCAAACCTCCAAGCATGGCAGTATGCTGTTTTTGCGTCGCCTCGGTTCGCGTGTCCTCTGTCACGACCTCCAATGAGGCCTTCGTCAGCCGTCAACAAAATGCTCAAAAACGGAAACATATGAACGAGATAGCCTCTAACCACATGTATGACTCCCAAAACCTTTAGCGTTAGCCTTTTGAAGTTGCCTTGCACCAGTCTTATGCCTTGTTTCATTTCCACCGCAGATGGGGTTGCCGTCTTCTAAGCACTGTCGATCCACTGGTAAACAGTGACCAACGTGGTGTAGACCATGGCGATGAAGCCAACAACCATGACAACAATGTCAATGACCTTGGCCCTGGTTGTCTGAGCAGCTCCCTTGTAGTGCAAGTACGCTGGGTAGATGTAGACCAAGGGAACACAGGCAAAGCTGCCAATCAACGCCACAAACTTATCCAAGTCACTGGCACCAACTATACTGATACCCACGCATACGCCTACAAGAAGGGTTCTGAGAGCATTCTTCTTCCACTTGATCGCAGCACTCTTCTTGCCAGTTGCACGCTCACCAAAAACTGAGGTCTCGATGATACGGGCAGCTGGGAAAAGCTGGACAGGATCTCCAGCGAGAACGGCAATCGAATACAGGAACTGGACTGCGTTGACAAGAGGAGAATCCTGAGGAAAGTTGGAAATGACTTGAATCTTGGTGTCCTCGCCAAAAGTCGCATAGCAGAGTGCTCCCACAGAGGTGAAGATGATCGTGATGATAAACATGACCAAGTAAAGGAGGTTAGGGAAGTGCTCGGGTCTCTTCATGCTTGACTGAATGGGCAGAATAAGTCCAATTCCTTCAAAAGTGAAGATACCTGAGCCAATGGTCAAAGTGAAATCTCTTGGGTTGAACAGCTTCACAGTCGAGTCCATGCCACGGTGAGAAAGGGCCGCAATGTCGTAGTACCAGATGTACACAATTCCAATCAAGATAAAGACATCAGCGAGAAGGGCGGCGGGTCCAAGTTTTGAGATGTTTCGGATCAGGGCAAGAGGAACAAGGGCGACCAACTGCAAAGCAATCAAACTGGGTACATTGAACATGAACTCGCGGTGGTTGGCGGTCACGGCGTCAAGAAATGCATAGAGGTTCTCAGCTGTAAAGATGAGACCAGCGCATACAAACCCAAGCTGGGAGATGGCAATCGAAGCGAGAACCAGACTTCTGAATCGAGGTCCAACAATGGCTTCACCTAGTTCTCCATAACCGCCTCCGTAAATCTGTCGGCAGTCAAGAAGCAGACGGAAACATCCGCAGTTGACAAGGGACAATACAATGAGGGTGATTGACGAGAACAGGATGCCACCGTTGCGGAACGCCTTAGGCAAGAACATGATTCCAGTTCCGATGAAAGCCTTGATGAGGGTGAAAAACGTCTTTGTGGTTGTAGCGTCGCCCGTCTTGCGCATTCGTTTAGTGCTTCGTCTTCTGCCAAGGAGAGGTCGAAGTTCAGGTGGCTGTTCCACGTCGCCGTCTTCTCGATCGTCAATGGCAGACTCGTCCTCGCTATCGGCATCTTCGAGATCTTCGCCGGCAAAGCTTCCATATAGATCGAGGAAATCGACAAAGTTCTTGGCGACAATTGTGTAGCCACTCATGCGTCTCTGTCGGGCACGGCGTTGAAGGTGGTATCGTCGAAAGCCGCCGGGCTCTCGCTGTTCGGAGTGGCTCAATTCGTCTTCGGCAGCGAGGGGGGGAGGTGTGTGATGGGAAAAGGTGGCAGCGCGGCGGAGGGAGTTGGCTCGAGCCTTGATCTTGAACATGTCGCGATGCATGTCGCCTCCTTGCAAAAGGAGCGAAGATTCGACGGGGTCTCCTGTAGTGTCGTTGTTGTCATTGCTGGCAGACCCCGAAGCGGAAGGGTTGGCTGGACCAAAGGCAACGTCGGGCTCGGCGGAGTAGCCATCTGGGAGATGCCTGTCGAGGATGGCAGCTTTTCGCTTGCTCGTCTCGCTGCCCAAGCTACTGGGTGTTCCGTCGAAATTGGCGAACTCAGCCATGATTGTGGGTTGTCAAGAGGAGTTTTACAGTCGTGACGTAGCTCCTGCAGAGCTTTATGGCGGTGCTGCAGAAAGGTAAACAGTGAATGGCAGAAGACGGAGTCTTAAAATGATCAATCACGAGTAGTCTTCAGCTGTGTTAGCCGTCACTGCAAGCGTCAACAGACATCCGCTGGCGAGGAGAAAGGAAATTGTATAGTTTCAAGGAAAACATTGAAGACGGCGAACAATCAAGTGCCTCCAGGTTAGGTCGTTCGGTTGTTGTATGACAATCGGGGCCGGTGAATGTCTCTCCCGGTACGCCAAGCTCCTTGAGGCTTGGGTCAGTGGGGTCAGCGATCCACGTGCATCAAGAAAGCGCAAGTAGTCGATACCTTTTCAGCCCCATCTCCCAAAACGAAACTCTGCTATCTGCTAGGTACAGCACAAAGTAAAAGTTACTTGGCTCGATCGCTTCCATCGGGAGCTTGATGCAACCACCTGAACACCACGCTCGACATTCAACCTGCCTGATTTGACATCACCGAAACTTCCAGAGACTACCAAGACTGAATCCTTCAGTTTCCTCGTCTCCAGAGCGAGGCAATGTGCAACATCAATAGTAAGAACCGTAGCAATAAGATATTGTAGCATTCCAAGGTTGCACCAAGCACACACATATGTGTTTATTAATAACTTGTTTTCTTTACTGCTATTCCAATTTGACTTAATCAAGCGATGCTTTTATTGCTCATCAAGCAACAGAAATGCACGGATATTGTCGGCCTCAAAGACTTGACCTCGATGACAATCGGATGTTCTGAATGGCTTGCGGCAGAATACAAGCTTTCAAGAATCCGGCAGTTCATCCATCTACTTCTGATGTTCTACCTCGTTCAAAGCAGTGTCGAATTGGACAAGTACCATACCCCAATGGACAGTTAAGCCCAGCACCTACGAGTTTACCGAAGAAAAGCCGGCCGAGTATGGCAAATTTTCTCCTCAGGCACGCAGTGCTAAACCCAATACGCTTGACGCGCCTGTCCTTTCGCAGCCACCAGAAAGCTCACTCATCAACCTCAAATTCGACCCCCAAACTCATCACAACCACTCAAGATGAGCTTCGTCCACCTTAATCCTCGCCCCATGCTGGAGAAGCTTGTCGGGAACCCAGTTCTTGTCCGTCTAAAATGGGGCGAGGTTGAGTACAAGGGAACGCTGGTTTCCATCGACAGCTACATGAACATTCAGCTTTCCGGCACCGAAGAGTACATCGAAGACAAGCCTACTGGATCACTGGGCCAAGTATTGATCAGGTATGAATTTTTGCCCATCCTGCCTTTTCAGACACGCGGTGCTAAACCACGAAATACAGGTGCAATAATGTGTTGTGGGTGCGCGGTGCAGATGCAGGAAGCGACGCTGATGCCGCTATGACCGGTTAATCTGCGTCAACGGTGAAGGAATTGTGAGAAGGAGAGGAATAAGACACGATGCTCTTGAAGTTTGTAGAGCTTTGGTCTGATACGAATCTAATTCCCGGGGGATCGACACGACACCGCCTCTTCAACTATCATCAAGCCTACGTAAACCATGTATCTACACATGGCTCGCCACGAGGTAGCACTTATCGAGTTGTTCTCAAAACCTAGATCTTAAGCTTCAGGCGGACGGCCCACGACGGCCCACAGTTTGGCAATGTTTGCTATAGTTATAATCTAATCACAAAATATGAAGATTACCATGGTGTACCAAGAAACAGATCTATGAGTGTGTCGGCCAGCGTTCAGCTTGGCCCTCTTCTTCAAGCAACCCAATACCCCTAGTACTTCCCCAAACAATGCCCACACCAATGCCAGCGAACATTCAGAACCCTGCTTGTTTAGGACCAAGTGTGAAAACAGCACATTTTTTGCCATAAGCGCCTTTCGGCGTCGCAGACATGGGTGCGTTTTCGTGCCGACGTGTCGTCGTTCGTAGGGATGAAAGCCAATTGAACCAGTTACGCTGAGCTCTTCCTCTCAAGACTAGTGAGTCGAACCACCATCGAGCGTAGGGGTGTTGACAGTTTTCAGACAATTCGAGAAAGCTAGATGAATTGGTCAGCAACGACGAAGAACCTGTTGAGCTGAATGATGGACATCCCAACTTACTCGATGAAGCCTGTGACATCGTCTGTTCCTTGTGGAAAATCCTCCTTATTGCCCGTCCAGAAATCACCTCCGTCAGGTAGGCGTAAATCAATATAGCCCTTTAGGAGCCACAGTGTGTCGTTCTTCTCAGGTTCTTGAATAGTTTTAAGAAGCTTGCGCGGAGGCTCCCCCATGTTCCCGGTAGACGAGACACACAACTCTGGAGGATAGTCTGCATCCTCATCAGAAGACTTTAAGAGACTCGATACCCTATCTTCAGGCCGAGCTTCACCCCGAACTGCTTTCCAAAGGCTGATAAAGTCGGTACCGTTTTGGTGGCTTTTCATCGCTGACAGGGGCAAAGTGCATGCCGAATTGTTTATGGGAACTTTGATTGTCAACCCTGTTGCAGTTCTGATATCGATTCCCAGATCCGTGAAATGTATCGTACGCTTATCGTCTTTCTCAAGCGGAGCAATGATAGGGCCCAGCTTAATGTTCGTCGTGACCATTGAGTCGTTTTTTGACTTGAATCTGAGTTGAACTTTTCCGCGCTGTGACACTTTGATCTGGTGACCTTCGGCTTCATTCAGATCGAGATACAGGGAGCCAGCTACTTTCCCCCTCGTAATGTTGCCGAGCCACTGCATTTGTTGTATCATGAACTGTTGCGATGCCCTTTGGAGTTTTATCCCTCCAGTTTCATCGTTGCTAGACTCACCAGCATCACCTTTGCCCCTGAAAGTCTCGATGAATCTGTCGCGCTCCGGCTGTACCACCCGATCGCCTCTCGCAGTCTCTAGTGAGGCGGCAATCCAAACACCTTCGTCAAGTTCCTGTAGAAACTCCACCCAAGCAACCTTGTCCAACAACCAGCCACATAATTTGGGTACCGTGTCTCCAAATAGTTGTTCGGCCTGTTGGCGTCTGATTGTCGATGACGGGGGGCCTTCGGTCTTTCCACATCGTTCAAGGGCGAGTTTGAAACGATATGGGGGATGCACAGCAAGTGACTTGGTCTCGAATAAGGATGAGGGTATGGGCGAGTATGGCTGGTTCCCGGCGATTGCAGAATTGTTGTCATCTAGGGTAGGTTCTGGCAGTACAGAGGAGTTGGAACCAGTCCAGGACCGCTCGAGCAGAAACTTCGGCAAGTTTTTTATGTAGCTGTTGATGACAGCATTCTGGAATGAATGAACGCATTTGGGAAACTCTTCGTTGAAACTTCTCAAGTCACCCTTCCATTCAGGGGGGTGTGCAGCGTCTAGAGGATTTGGCCCAACAACCAAACCGCCATGGCATCGATGGACGCTGGCCGCAACGGAGAAGAACGCCATATACTGAGTGACCTTGTTCCTAAGTTTGCGAGGAAATTCGAGCGACTCATCCTTTCGGATAAAGTCGTAAACCTTCCTCCATCTTTCCAGCGTCTTGTCCGAGGGACCCCAGTTATTTGACGTTAAGCTTGCCCTTGGGTCGCCAAACCGTTCGTTTTCTTCGAACACGTCTCGAGGTCTTTTCTTTGAGTCATCTTCTGTTGATTCAAACATCGGTTGAGATATACCCTGATCGGAGAGGGCACTGTAAGAGAGGTGGTGATCTAGCACAGCTCTTCTGTCTACTGGGATACTGAATGAAGGGAGTGCATGCCCTTTAGTTGCGGCTGACCGAGTCTCTTACGCTACGCTCTTGCAAATCATTGGCTCCAAAGTATTTATCTTCTTTGTGTAAGCAAACTCAGCTTTTGCAACCTGTAGACTCTCGAAGTATCCTGCGTTTTTCAAAGTTGCCTCTGCTTGGATGTGGAGTTCGATACACAAAGCCTGGCGTGATGTATATGAAATATCATGGCTCATAAGCAGACGAATTGCAGTGTCCATGTAGACCCATGTGGCAACCCACGGGTACCAGAAGACCTGGTCTTGACTCGACATGCTTGGATTTCTCGCGAAACTACCAGGATGAAGATGTGGAATTATGATGGCGTCGTAGCTGCTGTTTGGAATTTGTGCCAAACGAGGGATACCCACTTCGTTTAGAAGACTACAATATTAGTAATTTGATTTTGGGGGGTCTCATAAACATACGATTTAGGTGGAGTTTGCCGCCGAGATGGTCGGCAGACCCAAGCGTAAACATGCTGTCCAAGACTAGCCACAATCAACGGTCGAATTGTTTCCAGCCAACTATCAAACAAGTCCTAGAGTTGCATCAGTAATACAGTGGCCATGGTTTCAGAAATTCGTACCCTTGATCGTTGCTTGTGCTTGGGAGCCAGCTGTGGCCAGTTGAAAAGTTGATTGAAGCTGAAGAGATTCGCCAGAGACGTGATAGAGGCATCGCACACACCCGTTTCCATTGCAACCATTAAAGTCAGCACACTTCTAACCAAGCTGCTAGTAGCCCGGATGCCGCTCAGTATGCCGGAACCATCGTTGATACTGCTAATAGGTGGCTCTTGTCCGCACAGAGCGAGTACTGAATAGCCATTAAGCCAGGATTTAGCCACAGCCTGGGCGGAGACACCAGTGATATATGTCTCGCGGTTCGCCTCCTTCACCTTATCTGCCTCACTCCAAACCTCTTTGCGGGTATAATCCTACCACCCAGCGAAAAGAAGATTGATGTGGGAATGGACGTCGTGTGTTGGCGTGGTAAGGCAGCTGTTGGCTTTTATTCAGAGGCTCGTTTTGCATCGCAAGAAGACACGTTCTTCCTCGTCATCGACGCTTATGACCCCATGCTTTCCCCCACGTTGACGATTAAGGAGGATACGAAACCCGAAAAAAGCGATAAGGCAGCGTTCGGTTTGATCAGTGACAGAATTGTGAAACCGCTGAGACAACATGTTCTGTTGGCTGCTCAATTTGCCGAAATCTGGCACAAAGGTTCCGTGGATTGTGAAAACCTTGTGAAGAGCAGCAATCTCAGGATATCGCTTATGTAGTATATAGAGAAACATTCCAAGGAGTGACTGTGGCCGTTCTGCATTCTTCTGCACCCGTTTGAATGGGTTTCTTGGCGCGGATCTTGATCCAACGTAGCGGACAGTTATCCGGGTGGTGGGATCACTGCATCTGAGGAAAAATATCCAATCTTGTACGCTGTTCTCGTACCCGTGTAGTCGAAGCTCCTCAGTTATTTGCTGAAACTGCCTGGCTTCCATCGGCCAAGATCTGAAATACGCAACGGAGCCTGCTTCAAGCTTCGGGGACAATTTTGTGCATTGCTCGATTGTGATGATCTTTGCTAGCTGATCGTCACTTGTTAGCATTGGGTGATTGAGCCAGTCGCGCATGGCGGTTCCGACCCCGTCATCCTCTCCATATGAAAGGATTCTATAGGCAATTAGTTCATCAATATCCGTTGCCAAGCCGAGTCAGGTTCGTAGAAGCTGCTGAGGAATACGCCCATCTCCCAGAGAAGACATGGAGTAGCTTCTGCATCGGGTAATTATCTTCTTGCGCTGTTGTACTGCTCCTCCAGAAAAGCTGGCGGACCTTCTCCGAGACGAAAAACCGCCCATGGTGGTTAATGACGTTGGCGCTGACTTGATGCTGTTACGCCATTTGCAAACAAATTAAAGAATGCCCTGGCGACTTGAAATCGTGGAGCAAGTGTGTAGTCGCAAGATGGACAAGAGGAGGAGGTGATTGACTTTCATAAGGTGAAGAGTTGAATGAGGCTTGAATTTATATTTAAATTCTTTAGAAAGAAAGAATGGGAGGAAAACAGGCAAGTTTAAAAACATCATAGGTAGATACTGAGGTTACTAATATGTACACTTTTTGCGAGAAAACCCTATAACCAAAGTCAAGGTGGCCGAGTGGTCTAAGGCGCTGCACTCAAGACACGGTCTTACCCAGTTAACTGGGGCGTTTTGCAGTATCGAAAGATTCTTGGGTTCGAATCCCAACCTTGACAGGGAATTATTTTTTTTCATCTAGACCATATATCACAGCATCATGAATATATACTATCTACTGCAGTTTCTTTATCAATTAAGTCAAGATGGCCGAGTGGTCTAAGGCGCTGCACTCAAGACACGGTCTTACCTAGTTAACTAGGGCGTTTTGCAGTATCGAAAGATTCTTGGGTTCGAATCCCAATCTTGACAGGGAATTACCTTTTTTACCATTTTCATAATCTTATAATATATAAAAGAATATACTAATATAGTCCTAGCTGCCTTATTGTCTATATGCAATCACATCGACAATGAAATGTAAAATGCCTCGACCTTTTCTTCATGCTCTCGACTCCCTCTGTCAACGGCTGGAGGCCACGAAAGCTGTCATGTCTAGCTCCTCGCTGTTGCTTTCGCTGTGGTATTATGATTAAACATACAGAACACAGTCGTTATATCGGTGTCTAAGTTGCTAAGAGTATCCAGCGACAAAAATCAAGCCCACGCAAGAGACAAGAAGAGAACATATCAAAGAGGTATTCAAAAATGAAGTTCACAGAAGACTGCTCGTGGTGTGCAACATAATGCCTGAATCGGAGACTTCAGGCGGTAATCCTCTGAAAACTCCTGTAAACCAACCTTTTTCTCAGGGCATTTACAGGTGGCAAATGGTTGCGCGAGCAATGTTGGCTGACTCCGGGGAAGCCCAACAGTGGGTCTCTGGAAGCGGGGGCGAGAGCTGGGGCCGCCGTTCCTAAGTGCCGCGAATCTGGGGAAGCGGGTCTTTAGCGGGCTTAGTGGAGATGCTTCAGGGGGCTCGAGGACCCTCTGCGTGCTAGCGCCAGTGATTAATGGACGGCACGCGACTTGTAAGAGTGCAATGAATCGCCGTAAGTTGTAGGGGGGGGAGAGAGGGTTTGAAATCCACGACAGAAGTACTTGCAAGGAATGTCACGAACAAGTCATCCTGCATAGACGAGCGAAAGGAGCGGGCGACCAGACACACCGTTTCCCTGCCTGGCTCCTGCATCTACCCTCTGTTTTCAGTAACTGTGCCGCACATTGTTGTTTTTGGTGCATTGGGTACCTTAGGTGCTGTTGAGATTATTGAAATTGAGATGGCAAAGCTACGTACTACTACCCACTTCACGACTGTGATGCACTAAACATGAGATTCTTATCCCTCTTGATCAATTGTTTCTGAATACTGGGCTGACACTTGCATTTTACGCAACACACGAAACGAAGCAGGGTCGCATTTGTTGATTTTACTGCGTAGAAAACATGCCACTTCCTGCTTGCCTTAACCGGCGGCGTTATGGAGTTTCAGTCACCCAGTGCCGGCTCCAATTTCTTTGATTTGATTTCATTTGATTTGCCTCCCTGCAAAACCACGTAGTCACATTTTCCTGTATTCTACTACTACGTGACCATTTTGCTAGATCAAGAAGCGCAATCTTCACAGCGAGGTACTGTATTTGATCATGTTGGAAGTCTGATCAAAAACCGAAACATCTAGATCAATTTTGAGGATTGCTTCGCTGCCATTTCTCTCAATCCGGGATGGCACTGCACATCTTGCTACCCAAGACAACCAAATCAACAAGCCACCATCTCGCTTAGAACAGCTGAATCTCGACTCGAAGCGACCCTCCCGCAGCAGGACCTCAATCTCCTGGATCGCCCCCTGCTCTCCCATTTGAAGGTTGCCACGCCATTGAACGCCTCAGAGGTCATTGTCGTTAGGCGCGGGGAAGTTCCCCTTGTCGCACGCATCTCTCCGCCTAAGCTGCCTGCCCTGCGCCTCCCGATAGGTACTTGACTGTTTTCAGAACCGCCTTGACCAAACCGTGAGCAGCGAGCTATCAAGTCACGAGGGTCGAGGCTCGACGTAAAGGAGGGCATTGACCTAAGGAGCGGCGAATCATCATCTGTCTCGGCCTGCAGGAGAGTTTGAGGTTGGGGGGAGATTGCAAGCCATCCGCATTCAAGTGTAACCTTGTCGGTCAGCACAGTATTTGTCTTACTATGTACCGCAAGCTACAGCGATTCATGCTTACACGGACAAGTATCGCGCCGTCAGTTCTCATACCTTCACCATGACCATTTGCTTGTCTCCTCGTTTGGATGTCGCAGCCTCCCTACCGTGCAGGTTGATCATCCAAGCGCTGTTACCCCGCTCGATCTTGTACAAGCAGTCATTCAATCATGGTTGCACGTATATAATAGAGTGAGTAGCCGTTTCCTCCTCGTTTTTGTTTTCTGTCTCTTTCATCCCAATTGAATCAATTCTTCAAACACCCATCAACTTCAACTTTATTGGTACCGCCTCCACATCCTCCTGACAACTCAAACACCTTTTTCACACTCCTCTTACGAAACCATCAAATCCGTTCGAACACGTCGACTGAATCAATCAGCAGTTAGTAAAACCCCCCAAAATACCATCGAGCTCTACCTGACACTCAGTGCTAGACACCTAAACTCCCTCCACCACAAATACACAACATGCCTGTCCGCGTTCCCAAGCTTCCCGCTGCCAAACCCTCAGAGATCTTCTGCATGGGTGCGGCCGGTGTTGGCGTCTTGACACCCCTCTATCTCGTCATGCCTGGCGCTGAGGAGCGTCTTTCCAACCAGACCAACAAGTGGGCTCCACGATGGGAGAGGAACGTCAGCTACTTCATTCCTCCCATGGAGAAGGGCGTCCAGCGCATTGAGCCTCCTGTGTCCAGAATGGTCCAACGTGTTGAGGACCGTCTTCCTCTTGAAAAGATGGCCAAGTCAGTCGACAAGGGCATTCGAAGTGGTATCGCTCGATTCAATGGCGAGAACAAGCCCTAAGAACATATTTCATCTGTCTGCGACCAGCCTTTACCGGGCGCGGGTCTTTCCTTTGTACATTATCATTAGCATACCCCGGGTAGATGACACATCGTTCACGAAAACCCATACATGAATTCAATGATCTTATCTTGATATGAACTCTTTTTTACCTCATGGTGACTTGCGTCTTGGTGATGCTTCGCGTTTCTCATGCGTAAAGGTCATTGAGGTCTCCATCACATCCCATGTGTTTTCAATCTCATTGTCCTGTTCTTGGCATTAGTTTTGAACTCAACCTGTAGATTGCCCCAAATAGCATTTCATCGTTTACCATGCTAGGATTTAACACCGCACCTTTATTAACTCCTCGCGCCTAGATAAGTGAGTGTCCTCATCCTTTTCACGATCAATTGACCGTGCTGCCGCCATCTGCCCGGTCCATGCCGTATGTAGGTAGACCAAGCTGATACTCTACAGACTTTGTGTGACGACCCCCATCGACTACTCGCGTCGTTTCCACGTAACATATAATACTGCTTGATATCAAAACGAGACCCGAGAGAGATCATCACAATACATATCGATCGTGGCGACGCGATACGACAGTGCCTGTCCATATCGTGTCAATTGTATCGATAGTGATAAGAACCGGGTTTACGGGTCGATATTCCTGGTATCCTTACGCCACACTCATTATGCATCAGTCTCCAAACTCTGTATCTCCCGTTAAAAACATGTCTGCCTTGGGAGATACTTCACGGCCTCTATGTAATGTTCATGAGGCTCAAAGCATGTCGTGATGAGTGGAACCTTGGTGCGACACATCCTGGCTCGATGGCTTCAATCTAACGACCGACCCCAGTTGGGTCTTTGTGGATACCCTGGTACACGAACAGTGTTCACAGAAGTGCCATGGGCCGACACCTTTTCCGAGATATCGTGGCCGCAGCGCTAAAAGACCAAGTCAAGTGGTGAGATAAGGCTATTCTGCTTTCTCTCCTCTCTATAGTCGCACCACCTTCTGCGAGTCAGGACACTTGTAATCAACACCACATCAACTCCACCAGAATGACAGTCTTACTTCGTGGATCCGCCTTCATCACAGGCGCAGCCTCCGGTACGTCCCGCTATTTGCTCAGTACCATCGCCCCGCATTTCACTATGCGCCATCGCGTACCGTGGCCGAGACGGACTCGGAGCTACTCATTTAGTGCATTGTTTGATCGTCATTAGGTATTGGACAACAGACGGCCATTGCCTTTGCCCAACATGGAGTCACAAAGCTAGCATTGGCCGACATCAACCAAGACGCACTTTCTATATCCGCCGGATCTTTGAAGAAACAGTTTCCCCATGTCCATATTCTACCGGTGCATCTCGATGTTCGCGACTCCACGCAGGTCAAGGAAGGCATTGCCAAGATAATCGGCGAGTTTGGTCGACTGGACATTGCTGTGAACAACGCCGGTATTAGTGGCAGTGGTCGAAAGACGCATGAGCTGGAAGACGATGAATGGCTTGGAATCCTCGATGTGAATTTGCAGGGTGTGTATAGATGTCAGAAAGAAGAGCTCGATGTCATGGTAAATCAAGAGTACGTCTGGGCACCAAGATACAATGAATCGAAATGGTTCAAGAGCTAAATCCTCTCATAGAGATTTGGGACCTCGGATTGGCCGTGGAAGGATCATCAACGTGGGAAGTATGTTTGCTGTTGTGGCACCAAACAACCAAGACCATACTGCCTATACAACTGCCAAGCATGGTACGTTGTGCAATGCCTCTGCTGACCACAGTCCGTTCAAGCACTGATAGACTGCTAGGCATCATTGGCTTGACCAAGGCTGACGCAAACTCGTACGGGCCTTTAGGCATCCGTATCAATGCCATCTGTCCAGGCTATGTCGAGACACCTCTATTGACGAATATTATGAGTCGTGATCCGGCCTCACCACTCGCAGTGGACTTGTCAAGAACTCCTTTGAAGCGGCTCGCCACTATGGAGGAGGTGGCAGATGCCATAGTCCTGTTGGCTTCTCCCATGAATAGTTACATGCAAGGTGCCAGTATGATCTGTGACGGGGGGTTTACCAGTAACTAGACGCTCGTAGTCTGGTAGTCGCCAGACCAAGATCTGTAACATATACCCTCTAACTGGAATTGAATCATCTGAATCATGCATGCGTATAAATGTAGACTCTGAACTACTATTTCGTCTAAGCCATGATTAGCTATGTTTGCCTTACTGATGTTGATTTCATTTGACCTCTTTGATTCTGAAGCAGCACGTACTGTGACTTCCTTTATCTATAAAACCCTATTAGATGGTCTCCCTTACATCTCGATATCGTGCTTCGGCTGAACCAGAATAAAGGATGGAAGTGAGGGAATTGTGGAAATGCTTTGTTGGTTTGGCAAAAGCCCAGAGCAAACGTTTTGATTTGGACCTATGCAGAGAGCGTTCTCATGACACCTAGTTTTAATATACAATTTCATATAGATACAGACTTGTTCATATCCCACAAAGATACAAATAGCAAAATCAACTTTGCACATCCAAAAAAACACAACAGAACACACCAGACGTGAACGTCCTTGAACACCTTGCAGAAGAGACAGTAACGCAGCAATAGCATCTAACCAAAATTAAAAAAGTCAAGAGAGTAGTTTCTCTGTTCATCGTTGTTCACGTCATTCAGACGTGTTGTCTTGCCCAGATTTGGGCCATATTCCTGCATCCTCCCTGAACCTACGGGCCCAACGTTGGTACTCGTCCAGTTTGTACCAATATGAGGGAGCTTACTGGATGAAGACTCATGCATACCACCCTCACTGCCCCCAAACTTCGGAGGCTCCTTCGCTGAGCTGAAAGCAGCTATTCCTGACATGATACCAGTCGACATCGCGGCACTCTGATTCAACACTGAACTGGCACTGAGACCAGCAGTTCCGGCAGACCAGTCTATGGCACCAGGAAATTGACCTTGTGGAAAAGAAGGCTGCATGTTAGGCAGGCCCCAATTGTCATGTAACGGGTTACCGAGGTTCGCAGCATTGAGTGTACCGATCATGTGGCCTGGAGCAAGGTCGGGATGATGCATATTGACTGCGTTCGTCCCCACCAACGTCAGGCCAAGTTGTTCCGGCTGGCTGTGCAAATTCATAGGAAACATGGTTGGATCAAGCGGTGATTGGCTTTGTTGGCCATACGGCAGAGATAGAGGTGGTGCCGGTTGCGATGTTATACCGAGATAGGACGGTTTCGATGAGGCATAGTCTGAGGTCTGTCGGTGAACAGAAGGGCGCCTTTTCTTAAGAGGTTGATTGAAGTCAGTATCGGCTTCTCGCCTAACAGGAACAACAGGAACTGATGTATTGCCGTCATAAGAGACGCCGCTCCTCGCACTACTGGCACCAATACTAATGGCCTGCTGTCCTGCGCTGCCGCTGCGCGACCGTGAAACGTCAGTCATGCTGCTCCGGATCTGATCAAGTACAGCCTTGAGCAAGTCATCCATCCTGCTAGCCGGATGATATGTAGCGCTCATATCGCCAACAGCATCAGATAGAATTTCAAGATAGCCGATATATGTCTGGCGATTTGGCTCATTGCGCTGGTAGGCAAGTGCAGCAATCAACGCTATTGATGCAGTACCAGCATGCTGCATTCCCGTAATAAAAATCTTTCGTCCGTCGAATCTTTGACGATGCTGCCAGAATATTCGGGCCACGCGAATCGCTTGCTGAGTACATATACTGCGGGCCAGCGATGTGCGACTCCCATGGACCACGCGTTGACGGTCATCGGTAGACATGGACGAACCCTCAGCAGTGATGTGGTGCCCGGGGCTTTCTGAATTTGCCTTTCTGTCGCTTTCAGGACTTGGATGCGATCCCGTGCTCGAACCGTCGCCCGAAATTGAGCCATATTTGGCCCATGGTCGATGTAGTAAAATCATAGTTACGTGATATTGTTGATGTAATAGGAAGAAACTGTAAGGAGCTGTCTTGACATTGCTCGGCTTCCATGCCATGCGGTCGGGCAATCGCCTATACCAATTTTGAAGTTGCCTGTCGAGATTAATGACCTGCAGATATCTGTTTTCTTCGGCTTCATTAGTCGCAAATGCGCCGGTCTGTTCCGCCACTGTACTGGAGTTGCTCAGATCACGTATTTCGACGATTCGTCCGGCCAATTCCATCAACTCAATGAGCTGCTCGTAAATTTCAGATGTCAAATCCATCTTGGGAGCATCGAGCCCGAAAGAAGCAAGCTGGGAAAATCGGTTTGATAAAAGGTCAACGTCTTGGCTTTTGATAGCCAATGGCCTACCCAGAAACAATCCCCAATATCTGTCATAGATCACACATGCCTGCATGACCATATTTCGAATTTTTGTGTCTTGTTCGGACATGCTGCTGGTGCAATCTAAGTGGAGGCCAATATCAAAAGCAAGGCGATTTGCCATTCCTAGACACGGTTAGCTGGAAGAAATTTCAAAAACATGCATAATGATCAAGACTCACCAGAGTACATCCAGCCGGTGTTATCTCTACCGACACCGCATTCAAGATCTCCAAGCAACAATAACGCCTGAACACTAGGAATACCACCAGGACGCTCGAGCTCGATGTCAAGCATGTGCTTGGCCTCTCTATGAAGAGAACTTTCTCGTGGACTTAGTGTAATCTTGCGCATATCATCTCTGTCCATATCGGCCACACGGTACCCCATGGCCAAGACTGTGATGTGAAGAAAATGAGAGTAAAACTTTGAAGACTTTGACATTCGGTCAGCTTCGAAAGCATCTCGATCAATGATTTGAATCACAGAATTATAGTAGTGGAAGAATCCATCCACAAGATAGTCGTGTGTCTCCGAGCTCAGCGATTGGATTATCTTCTCTGCTCTTCGGATTTGTTCAGGCGGTTCACGTGCATATGATAGACTTGTTGATTCAGCATAAACATGGCTGTTGGCTGTGGGACCAAAGAAACGCAGGCGTCCAGAGATTTGGTCGAATGACAGGTTGCCTTTGGTCGATAGAAGTCGATGGATTATATCCTCTTGCTTAGGATCCAGAATGCGAAATGGCGAATCTTCGTTCGAACGAGAGTACGCTTGCTGTTTTTCACGCGAATTTGTCGTCGCAAGTTCACTCTCACGTGTCGTGAAATCGTCGTTCTGATAGTCCGGGGGAGAGTGGTCCTCGCTCCCTGGGGACTTTGAGTCAGATTGCGGAGATGGGTCAGTATTGCCCGCCGTAGTGGCTATGGTGTCTTGCACATCGTGCCTTGTTTTGGGAGGATGAGTCGCTGGAGGCGGTACCACACCCTTTTCCAAAAGCAAGCCCTCAAGCATTGAGATTCTGTCTGATAATGAGGACATGTATGCTTTGGATATAGGACTTGAAAAATTCATTAGCCTTGGCTCATGATGGACCTGAAACACATGAGCTCATACCGTCTACGCTCATCGTCATTTTTGATGATGCACTCTGCGCCTGACTTTGCACAAGCGGTACACTCGGTCTGATTCTTGGGTACCACGCATCGAATTCTTCTGTCGCGGCATGACGCACAGGCGACAGATGCGCGGTGTCTTACTTGTTGCTTGGTTGTGTTACGCCCAGGGTTGCTTTTGGGGGAGGCATTCTTGCTGCTCGGATCCAGATTAAGCGCATCTTTTGCATTGGCAGAAAGAGCCATGATGACCTGCGCGCAGCTGAATACAGCTAGTCCCGGAGCGGGCTCACTGTTTTTGAGCCGGACGGGCCTCGGTCACCGAAATTGGACTGAGAATTGTCTGGGGAGATGTTGATAAGGAGAAGATTTTAGCTAGGAAGCGGAGTCGCAAAATGGGAGCTGGAACCTGGGCCTTAGCCTGAGGCTGGAGCTTGGACCTTTCCCCACGTTGTGATATGGAGCTACTCGTGGATCCGATTGAAAAGGAGCCCTACTGTTTAAGTAGGAAGTAAAAAAGTATAATATAAATAAAAGTCTAAAAGAGTTATAAAATAGTAAATAAGTTAAAATAAATTAGAAATTAAATAATAAAAGCTTTTAATTTTATTAAATATTATTATAATATATATTATAATAGTTTTATAATAAGAAAGCTAGGTAGGCTTAATAGTATTATATTAACTAAAGCTTAGGAAAAAAAAAATCCTTTATAAGGTAATTTTAAGAAAAAGGGGTAATTTATAGTTAATTTACTATTATTACCTAATTAATAATTAATTAGTTATTTTATTTTAATTAAATAAAATAAGAAGTAAAATAAGTATAATAATTCCTTCTTTTTTCTTAAATAGCTATTTATAACTATTAACTTATAAATAATAGTATTTTTAAAAGTACTTAAAAGTAAGTCCTTGGCCTTCTAATTAAAAGGCTTTATTACTTATTATTTTAATTTTAATTTAATTAAAAGAAAAAAGAAATTTTTTCTTATTTTCTTTTTTTTTTCTTTTTTATTATTTTAATTTTCTTTTTTTATATCTCTTAGTTTTTATTATAGTTTTATTTTTATACTTATAATCCCTTAGCTTATATATTTTTTACTTTTTAAGCTTTTAGTTATTTTATACTTATATTATATTAATATTATATATATTATCTTTTTTCCTTTTTTTTTTTTTTTTTTTTTTCTTATTATTAGCCTTATATAAGGCTATTAAGCTTTTTAATTTTTCTATAAAGGCTTAAATAATAAGACCCTTATAGTAAGCTATTATTATAGAATTTAAAATTATATAAGATTTATCTACCTTAATAATATAATTACTACCTTAACTAGGCAGTATTAATACCAGCTCTTAGCAGCTAGGTTACCTTTTTTTCTTTATCCTACCTAAAGGACTAAGATAATACTACACCTAGTTTATCTATTATATTTTTACTTAAAGGTTAATTAGGCCCTAACTAAGTAAGCAATTAAGCATAAACTTATAAGTAAGTTTCTTAACCTAGCTTTTAATCCTTCTTACTAATAGTATAATAATTATACTGCCTTAATACCTATTATATAAAATAGCCTATAGTTATATAATTATATCTATTATATAACTAGCTATAATTTTAATTTAGCTATTAGGCCTGCCTTAGATATAACTAATAAAAAAGAATTTAAAAAAATTTATATAATAATAACTACTATTAGAAAGAACTTCTTATTAAGGTATAAATCTAACCTTATTAAAATAGCTATTTTTAATTATAGCCTAATCTAGCTAATTAGTTATATAAATTAGAGGTATTATATTAGTTTAATTAATCTAAATTAGGTTAATTCTAAGCTATTAGGTCTTAAGGACTTAAAAAGGGGCCTAAGGGAAGGTTATTACCTTTAGTTAAATTAAGCAGCCTTCCTTACTACCTTTATAGGTTTAGTTATATATAAAAAGTGGCTTTTTAATATATCTAAAAGGGTTATTATTATTAAGGGGAAGCTACTCTTAAATTAGTAAAGAGTTAGATAAATATAAGGTAAAGGCAGGGTTTTATAGAAAGTTAAAGGAATTAGGTTAACTTTTATATAAGTTAATTAATAAAAGTTAAATTAACCTAAAGTTATAACTAGCCTTTATTAATTAAATATATATAATAGGGTATATAATTAATTAACCTTATATATAAGAATAAATAAAGTAAAGTCAGTGAGAAGTCAGTGGTTTAAACTAGGAAAAGATAATATATAATAGCAGGGATCCGCTGGTTATCACCGACCTAACTACTAATCTGCCCCTTACCAGCTTATCTATAGGAGAGTAGACGGGATCCCGAGTTCTCTGGTAGGTATGGTTATATGTATATTATCTCATTATTATAATTTTACTTTTATAATAATTTTTAAAGCTATTTTATTTATATTTTTATTTTATATTACTTTTAATTTTATTATATCCTTTAATCCCTTTAATACCTTTTTAAATTATTATATTTTTTATTTTAATATTTATATTTTTAAGCTAAAATTATATCTTAATAATCCTAATATTAATAA